CAATGGTCAAACAAGGACAAAAATAACCCAGGGTGACCAAAGAGAGTACCCTAATTCTGCCGAGGCGAAGCTTGATAAACAACGAGGCAAAACAAAGCAAACAACACACCGCTGAAGACCGTTACAGTGAGGAAAAACAGCCAAGGGTGAGTAGACTTTTCGGGATATATCATGGTAGAAGGATACAATAGGAAAACCTAACGGTAGCAAAGCACAAAGAATACAGTAAGGAATGAAAACAGAAATATCCTATACACTTCGATACGTCCAACTCGTGAGTGCGATAAAGGATAAAGTGACATGTTCTCGTTGTCACATGACGGAGTTATGGAGTGTGTTCTTCCGCTCGCCCGGAGATGAGATCGACCGTCACCATTTTCAGGATATCATTCAACAATGATACTTATCGATCACGTTTCCAATCTTTGTATCGGATGAGCAAAGGTAATATGCACATTACCATGAGGTAAGGTAAGCTAAAAATTATTCTTTGTTTATTGTTTTTCACATGTTCATAATAAGCAAGTGATCAAAGACAACCTTTCTGTACTCAAAGGCAGTCATGATAAAAGAATCATACCTTTGGGCTGGATGTTCCTATAACCCCTGACCTGATGGGAGGAAGGTCAAGGTCACCTGATATAACGCCTGACCCAGAAGTCAACATTTCTTCTTTGTTTTTCATTTCCTGATTCCAGTCCTTTATGCCATCAACAAGATCCTGTTTGTCACCAGGGTCAAGGTCAGAGAGTCGAGGCAGAGGATGATTCTTCCGTAAAGCTTCGGCTAAACAGGATATAACAAGTATTATTGTTTTGTGCTATTTCAATTCCTAAATATTCAATCTGGTTACAAAAGTAAAAAAGTAATAGCTTTGATATAATTTTGAAACATTTGCCGAAAGGAAAGGGTGTAGAAAACAAGGGCAGGGACATTTGGTTTTGATGGCATCAAGTCCAAACAAAAGGCAAAATTGTCCAAAAGATTATTTAACCAAACCTGAAGAGGTTTTCAATTCTTCAAGAGAGTCGCCCTTGGGTACATATTATGCATTTTCCACGCTGAAAATGTCCTGTGACAGTTGTATCAATGTTTTTGAATAAAAAGATTGTACAATAAATAAACTTTTTATTTATTATACGGCCCCACCTCGTGGAGTTACTTCTCCCGCTGCGCATGCTAATTCAACTGGGTAATCACCTAGGCCCGTGATCATCATTCCTTCTGCTGAATAAATCAGTGAACAGAATTATGGGAGGTATGGAGGCTCTACCCCAAGGATCGACTCTCTTCGAAGAATTGAAAACCTCTTCAGGTTTGGTTAATTCTTCTTCATAGAGATCGTCCTTGGGGTACATATTATGCATAAACACAGACTCCCAAAGACCGGAGGCCAGGGAGGAGGGAATTCTGTCCAAGCACATACAAATAGCTATCGTCAATTGAATAATGTAACAGACGCCATAACACTCACCTGTCACATGTCCCAGTTTTCGCTTCCGCGAGAGGCATTATGGGAGGGGAACTGACAGGGAGGATTGTACTCAAAGATCTAACCTCAGAGGTTCAAGATAGTAATTCGCACATGGTGCTTAAATGTAAACAAAGCCCCACCCACCTTGTGTCGCATTAGTGAGCACCGTGAGGGGGAATGTCAAAACGCCACAACCGACCTAAATACTCCGAGAGGATCGAAATGAGGTTATTTAGCTCCCATTAGCGGATATGTCAATAAAACTCAGTATTGAACAGCAGCGCCAACAAAACCAATGAACCAAGACTCACTCGGTCAGGGTGGCAGGACACTGTCCACTGGAGAGAACAGAACGCCAAAGCTCGCGACGACACGGGAATGCGTATCGAGCTGATAATGCCGAATAAACGCATAGGCCGGCTCCAAATAGCGGCAGAGCAGATCTCTTCAATGGGGAGTGCCGATGCAAAAGCTTTTGATGCGCTACTGCCCTGACCGAAAGTGAGCCTTCAACCCCTCAGGGGAGGCTTGCCCTTAGCCTGATAAGCAGCACAAATACACCTAAACTAGCCAGCCAGACAAAGTCTGCTTGCTCGCCGCACACCAGCCTTCCCGCCACCGTAACAACAGAACAGCTGGGTACCCGCACGGATTCCCCCGCGCTCGCTTGATATAGACTTTGAGGGTCTTACGGACATCCAACGGGTGAGTGCTCGCTGCAGAGGTCCCCGATGTGGAAGGCTGGGTAAGAGTGGGAAGTTCGATAGGAGCTGTCACATGGAAAGCTTGATCGACCTTCGGGCGGTAACGATCCGGGAGGCTTAATACTGACACGATCAGTGTGAAACACAGTCAGCCGGTCGGACGACATAGCATGTAAATCGCCGAATTCTACGCCCAGATGTTACCGCCACCAGAAAACAGCCTTCCAAGTTAACAACTGAATGGAAATAGCCGATAGGTGTGAGAAAGTGGGACCGACAGCCAATCGAAAGCACAATTGACAAATCCCAAGGTGGGCTGGTTCGCCTGACAGCAGGTCGAACCCGATCCGCCAGCCAGAAAAAAGCGCCAGACGAGAGGGTGCTGCCCCAGAAGAGCACCATCGACAGGTGTGAAAAGTGGAAATAGCGTGGAGTAGCCAATTAATGGTCGGCCGCCAGGCCTTCTTCCAAACGGGCTTGCAAAACTCCAATACTCGGACTAAATCCGCAGAAAAGGGATCTGCAATCCCCCTATCTGAACACCAGCGCCAAGATAGCGGACCACCTATCCTCATACTGAACGCTTGTCTAATCCCACCAAGCCAGAATTGTGTCTGCAACTGCTGCAGGAATTCCGCGCCTCGAGGCTAGACCTGACAGAGGCCAAGCCACCCACTGAATCCTTGATTGGGGTGGGGCCCGCTCTGAGTGAGAATGTCCGGGTCAGAAGGTAATAGAACAGGAGGCTGAGCCAGAAACCTGAGAATTACCGAAACCAGCTCTGTGACGCCAAAGCGGTGCCAGTAGCACAAGCAGCCGAGCTGGCTGGGTGGACAGCTGTGAAAGGACACGGGAATGAGTGGTAACGGCGGAACGCCCAGAGCACTTTGCCCGCCCAATCCAGCAGGAAGGCGGCCGGCAGCCAACGCCTCGGTCCGTATTCGAGCAGAACACGGGTGTCTGATTCGCCCCGCCGACGCAAACAGATCCACCTGGAACGCAATTCGCATAACTGGGAGATAACTCTGAATATCTGCCTGTCGAAAGCATCCACTGCAAGGGCCAGGATCCGCGAGAGAGAGCGCCTGCTCGCGACGCTCTCCAGCCCCGGAGATAAACAGGGAGTACCTGACAATCGCGACTGGTCGCACCAGAGGAGAAAGTCCCATGTCTCCCCGGAGGAGCCGCCGACACCGCGTCGCCTTTGCTTCAGGATGTACGACATGGCCGCCTGGTTGTCCAACTGAAGACGAACCACCTGGCCCTGACATGCTCTCGAAGCCAAAACCAACCGCACAGCTCTCAGTTCCAACACGCTGATGTGAAGGTGGGCTTCGCTTCGACCAGAGTCCGACACCGACAGACTGCCCAGAACACCCCCAGCCCGCGGAGGGACGATCGGGTCTGAACTGTAAGAGCTGGCGTCGGGATTTCCAAGGGGATCCCCCTGGTGAGATTCCCGACATTGGTCCACCACTGAAGGTGAGGTGTCAACCACCCGGGGACTGTGAGACTCCGCTCCAGGTCCTCCGAGTGAGCCCACAGACTCGCCAAAGCTTGCTGTATAGGGCGCATCCTCAACCGCGCCCGCCACACTACAGAGATCGTCGCCGCCATATGGCCCAGTAGACGGAGCCAAGTCCGTGCTGGTGCCTGGGGCTGGGAGAGGAACGAAGACACCATCTCCCGTACTCTGGTGACCCGGTCGGGAGACAAGGAAACGAGATCCTTGTGTGTTTGGAACCTCGCACCGAGAAAAACCAAGTCCTGGGTGGGTACCAGGTCGGATTTCTTGAGGTTGATGATCCACCCCAGTCGAACTAGAATGTCTATCACCGTGTGAGTAGCATCTAGGCTCGCTGGCTGTGTTAGTGCGCCGAGCAACCAGTCGTCGAGGTAAGGGTAACAACGCCTTCCCTTGGCGAGCAGCCGGTAGGGTAGCCGGACTAACATGAGCTTGGTGAACACCCTTGGGGCAGTGGATATGCCGAAGGGGAGCACCGTGAATTGGTAACACATCCCGCCGTAAGAGAACCGAAGGTACTGCTTGAACGATGGATGTATGGGCACATGCAGATACGCGATCCTGAGGTCGCATTGACGGAGCCAATCGCCGGGCTGAACAGAGGAGATCACCGAGCGCAGTGTCTCCATCTTGAAGGATGGTACTTTAGCATGCGATTCAACCCCTTGAGGTTGAGAATGGGACGGAACCCGCCGCCTTTCTTCGGACGCAGGAAGTACGCGGAGTAAAAATCCCGCCTGTTCCTCTCCCCGGTGGAATGCGCCGATTGCGGACTTGTCCAGCAAAGCCTGGACTTTCGCCGCTAATATGTCCGCCTTGCCTGACATGACGGCACCGGAGTGCGGGCGATGCCGGTGAAGTCGGGCGGACCTCGCCCACAGTGGTAAATGGCCGACACTGATGGTGGACAGCACCCAAGTGTTGTTTGTAGCCTTCTCCCACCCGCAGGAATAGAGAGAGGCGGCCTCCCACTGGGACGCTGGGTAAGAGCTGCGGCGTGGTCCCGAAAGTAGCGGAGCTGACTGGGAGTGACACACGGCTGGGTCTACAGCCTGATGGGTTAACGGGAGGTCGGGGCAGACCTCCCGCGCCCGCGAAAAGGCTGGGAGCTAGTCGAAGAGGACTGCTCTTTGCCCTTACCCTTGGCGGACCTGGTTCCTCCGCCTACCCCTGCCAAGCGGCCGAAGCCAGCCAGCGGACTCGGGTGTAGGCTGCACCCCGGCGGAGGAAGGTGGAACGGGAGCGCGGGGGCGAGAAGCCCGCGGGTGCTCCAACAAGGCCTTAGAGTCCTTGAAGGAGGTAGCTGCAGCGCAGCCTCCCCGCATGACCTGCTGGGCCCCAGGAAACAACGCCGCCCCAGACGGTAGGGAAGGGCCAGCAAGGTCTGCTGTGTAGCTGCCGAAAGCACCGAGACGCCGACAGCCACAGCTTTGCGCATCCCCATGACTGCGCGACATCACCGCCGCCGACGAGCTGACCGCAAGGAGTCGCACGCCAGGTGTGCCTGAACTTCGGATAACTGACGGAGTAGCACGACACGCGGAGAAACGCCTCCAGCATGCCCCTCCGCTTCCAGGGCCGACCTCTGGATCGAGGGAGAGGTAGGCCTCATGGACCACGAACCCGCACCTGCTGCATAGCGCTCCGTAGACCTCCCTCGTAGGTCCGCACGCATGCCGCAGGGGATGCCCGCAGGGCAAACGGTGGTGTTAACCGCCTTGCCGAAAGCAGCCGGAGCTGCTCCGAGGAAGCCGAGCCTCCCAAAGGCGCACCGGTAAACACGCACTCATCCACCACTGGAACAGCTTAACAGGGAATCCTCCCCAGCTGGTACCTCCGACAAGCTCAGGCAAGTCAAACGGAGGCGCAGACCCAGACAGGAGGGGATCAACCACGCCCTGGACCAACGATGGTAGAATACGGAGCAGCGCCTGGGCGTAGGCTGCCGAGGGCAAACGCCGCCTGGCAGGCGGAACTCAGACGAAGTCCGAAGCGGGCTGGCAGGCACCGCTGCCTGGGGTAGGAACTCGCAACGCGCTGCCGACCTCCCGCAAAGCCGATTTAAAAACGGAAGGCACCCTCCTGCTCCTCAACCTCCCCAGTATCCATGGACTCGGGCGCCGAGCCCGAAGTCCGAGGCTGGGTCTCCTCGCGAAGAGGACCCAACCCCGACCCGGTGGGCTGCCTAGCACCAGGCACAGAAGAGAGGGAGGAGCAGACAGAGCCCCTGGCCAGCACCTGCCATCTCGCGACAGACCCCGGGTCCCAGACGCTGGAGGCAGACCAGGCAGAACTGGTGCCTCCGCCTCATGGGGCGGACGGCGCGAGGGACCGAACCCCAGGAATCCTCAACGACCCCGCGCCAACCCGAGAGGGGACTGGGAGCTAAGCCTCCCTCCGGGCAGCCGAGAAGGCCCCGACCCGGCCAGAGGCAACGGATCTACAGACGCCTCAAGGCCGAGGGATCGAGCCGGCTCGGGCGATCCCACCCCCAGACTCTCCGCCCCTTGCGCCAGAGTGGGCGAGGAACTCCTGCCGGAGCCCTCCAACCCACTCATGAACGAGGGACCTCATCGAGTCCATGTGCTGCTGGAACAACTGAGTAATTAACGACATGTCAAAACCGCTACTAGGAGCGGGAGAAGGCGACTGGCTGCGTGACTTTTGCCTTGCCTACGCAGGCTTTTGGCTTTGGACGGGGACCTGGGTCAGTTCCTCCCGCCCCCGCGATCTCTATAAAAGAGAAAATCCGCCTCTTCTCTTCTGGGCCCGGGAAAACCCCATACAATATCTCACAGGTTTCTGAGATATGGTCCGCTTTTTTCCAGACACACAATACATTTGTCATGGCGGTCAGCCCTGGGAATGCTTTTGCCCACAGACCTAACAGGAGGAAAACGCCTGAAAGCAAAACACGCAAGCATGTAGCTAACAGCGACCAGCAGCTAATAGACACGATAAAACATTGAAAAATACGCGGAAGGCTACCACGGAAGAAATAGTTGGTTCAATACGCAATATTACAACCACGCGGCACGCTTAAACTTCCCGCCATGGCAGAGCAACATGTGCGTAAAACCACGGAAAGTGAGCGTGAAATAATTAATACAAAGTCACAATTATGAAACAACCAACCGCTAAAGCTTTACTGTTCCTTTCAAGGACAAAATAAAGACCATACATACAGGTGGTGTCTGTCTCAGACATATCTCTTTGAGTTCTCTATTTGAGAATACAGCTGTTCTACACATCATAACACGCCTTCACATGTGAGTGACAGCAGAAGGAATGATGATACGGGCCTAGGTGATTACCCAGTTGGTGCGCATGCTAACGGAGGTAACTCCACGAGGGGGGCCGTGATAATAAATAAAAGTTTATTTATTGTACAATCTTTTATTCAAAAACATTGATACAACTGTCACAGGACATTTTCAGCTGGAAAATGCATAATATGTACCCCAAGGACGATCTCTATGAAGAAGAAGAATCATGCATGGTATATAAATCGATCAACCTTGACCAAGCTTCACTGACATTAGTTTCATCCATGAAAAAATCATTAACACACACTACATCTAATCACGACAACTATCACCACAATACCAACGTACCTATTTGGAGCTAATTCTGTGAGCTTGTTCTCCGCTAACTGTTCAAGCTCAGGAAAATAACCTTCCTCCCCTGACCTGAGTGAAGAAAAGAAAAGAATGAGTGACACTGACAGTGCTTCAGTTATAACAATGTGACGTGGAGGAATGTCTGAATATTCCAGTCATATGGTGGCAATCTGTATAATCAAGTCTAAACTAAACAATCCAGTGATCAACAGCACGACATTAACCTCATGACCACTCACAGTGAAAGAAGAATGTCCTGGTTCACACATCAGGGTTTACCTTGAATCCACAAACATGAGGTTCCGAGGGGACCCTAATTATACATTTTAAACTTAAGGGACCTTGCAGGCAATACGAGGTTCCTGTGAAGTAACAGTATAGAGAATTTCTGTATGGTAGCCGTGTTTTAAGGTAATTTCTTTAGGAGCCTGGAATGAATCATTGATCATGTGGACTGATGGGTGAAATGATGCATGTAACTGCTCTGTTCAAAAGAAAAACAACCAAACACTTAGCAAAGTCAAAGATGTGTTGTTGGTACAGTGAACAGTAAAGTGAGTTTCATTTTTATGCCGCACTCAGCAATATTCCAGCTATATGGGCGGTCTGTAAATGTCGAGTCTGGACCAGACAATCCAGTGATCAACAGCATGAGTATCGATCAGTGGTACAGTGAATAATATTATTGTGTCCCTCTGGACAACAGTGGGTTTTTTCTTCTGCCTCCATTCTCTACATTTGTGCATACTGGATGTACATTTGCAAGTCTTGTAAAACCCTGAACATATCTATGAATGTTGGTATGTTACTTCAAGATTCTTAATGTTTTCTCTGGGGATGAGTTCCAACCCAGTATCAACTAAAAGGTAAACAGAACTTATATCACATTTAAAAAACAACACATCTATCACTGCAAGTATCTTACTTCAAGATTTTGAATATTTTCTCCAGTTCCTTGACATCGCTGCAATTTTTCACATAGCTGTGGTCCAGGTGAGACAGTGGGATGTCATACTTCTTCGTGTTCCCTGTCATGTATACTGCTTCCCCCATGACTGATCTGAAACAGACAAACAGGGATAACATGGAGTTTTATTTGCTGGGTAGCCTAGTGGTTAAAGTGAAGAATAATGACAATTATTATGTATATACAACTTCTTTTATTCTGTTGAGGCGACGTTTCGACATAGGTTCTAATGTCATTGTCTTCATCAACTCAACTTCTAAAATGCCCATCAAAGTAGTGGTTAAAGAGTTCGCTCATCATGCAGAAGACCCAGTTTCCAATCCCCAGATGGGTATAATGTGTGAAGGCCATTTCTGGTGGCCCCTGTCATGAAACTGTGGGAATATTGCCATAAATGGCATAAACCATGCATAAACTGACTACTCTAGGGATGACACAATGGCCAGTCAGTAGTCTTGACCAGGCAATTGTGTGATTGCTGTTAAGAGCACCATGTCATGCTCTCAAGGTAGGGTTTGGGCAGAAGTAATCCATGTCATCATGAAAGACCACCTGTTCCTTTCCCTTATTCAAGTTTCACCAGCTCAAGATTACAAAACATTCTTTGTACCCAAAGAATGCTTGTAAGTAAAGAAACGACAGTTCTTGGGTGAAATGGACAAGACCATATTGGCCAACCCTGACAGTTGGCTCAATCAGTTGTTTGGTTGTTCAACACCACTCCAGCTATATGGCTGGTGGTCTCTAAACAATCGAGTCTGGACCAGAATATCCAGTGATCAACAGCATGAGCATTGATCTAGGCAAATGGTATCACAATGACATGTGTCAACCAAGTAGGCAAGCCTGACCACCTAATCCATTAGTTAATCCCATGGGTTACTGAAGACCAATTTCTAACCCAGATCTTCACGGGTCTGGCTGCAAATAAGCCAAAAGCCCCTCTGTTTATCAACTATGGCCTAACCTAGTTTGTATATTTGTATGAATCTGATACAAAAATATTTTTATGAACATATATGGCGTGTACCCAAAATAGCTAATTCATACTCATGGAATATACATGATTTAAAAACATTAATCACTTGCATTCACAGCAATAACCCAATGAAAATGTACATGATATTGTTTGATTTGTGTATCATATCAAAACATATGAGTAGTTTCATCTTTGACTGTGTAAAGTACTTGTTAGGCTGGCTGACCTCGAGACTGTAGTAGTTTTAATACAAAAATATCATCAGGAAGCGAGTTCTATGGATATCAACTTATTTATCAGGTGATGAATTTACTCAGAAATGTTGTGTTCCTCATAATATAGAAGTTGATATCCATAAAACTTTCTTCATTATGTACTGGTGAAAATCGGGGTTAGAATTGGTCTTCAGCAACCCGTACTCTTAAGACAAGCATGGGTTACTGAAGACCAATTCTAAACCTGATCTTCATGGGTCCTCATGTAATTAACCTGCCAGGCTCCAATCAAAGAGTCAAAATGGTGGCACACAATGGGATGGTATTTACTTAATTTACTCATTAATTCTGACATACAAACTACAATCTCATAAGTAATTAAAGTGCAGCATCATCTCATATGTAATGTGCTTTCAGACAGCATTACTCGCACTATAACTGGGCTGGTTGCGTCACACAGGCATTGTAAATACTATGGTGATGGCTTGTGTTTAAGATATGGTTGTCTTTAATAAGTTAGTGACAAGTTTTACCATTTTTCATGCTACAATCAATTAAGTTGTGAGTTTAGTTTTACGCCACTTTTAGCAATATTCCAACAATATCACGGCGTGGGGACACCAGAAATGGGCTTCACATATTGTACCCATGTGGGGATTCAAACCCCGGTCTTCGGTGTGACAAGCGAACGCTTCAAACACATCAATACGTCAAAGCATTAGGACGTTGACCCAAGTTTGGTAATGTTGGCAAAACCATTGCCAACGTTGGGCCAACGTCTGAATGCTATCTGGGGTACCCTTCACTTCAACACTTCATAAATGCCCAAACTGCCGACGTCAATTTGACACACACAGCATCATAGATGGATTTATTTTTGACATCTTTTAAGGGATAACCAAAAACTTGAAATAATAACAAGCCCTCTTTGTTTGCTGCACGTCACAAGGTGTTTAGTTTCACTTTCATCCATTCTAACTTTCCCATTCTAACTCAATTTCATTTTCATTTTCGGTAACAACTTCTATTTCGGGGTAGATGTCATTCCAAACACCACAAAAATTAGGCATCCAGTACTGTTATAATCTGTGACGCTGTCCCTGACGACCGAACTCACGAGAAAAGTTGATTATTATGCTGAACGCCAACCAGTGACTAACGAAAAAAAGGTAACGAACACTCATGAGTGTCAAGATTGAAAGTAAACACAAACTTCTCCACCTTAGGAAAAAATGTCCCTCGTTATGAGAGAATGCAAAGCAATTAATAATTATATGTGATGAATTTATTGCCACCGTCTTTCCTCACCTGCTTCGTTTCACACAAAACAACCCGTAGGTTAAGTCCAAACGCGTTTCGCTTCGTTACCGTGGTTTGAAGAAGCTATCCTTCTTCTGATATCGTTGATTAACGTAGATTCTCACGAGAGAACCACAATGCAATTGGAACAACCCTGTCTACGAACATACTGTGAGGAAGATACGACAAAGTTCCGAGTGTTTCCGAATGCGCATGCTCAATATCATATATTCTTAACAACATATTCCACTTATAAACGAACATAAAGGTTGTCTGTTAAAAAAATACTTTTACACTGATAGTCGTCATATTCAAGTACTATTCTAATTATGAAATCAAAGTGGTACGGTTTCCATGGCAAAAACATGCCTTTTCATGGACATTATCGCAATTAAAGTCATCTGTTGCGATAGAAACAGACCATATGACTCAATGTAGCTAGGGGCGGTGGGGTAGCCCAGTGGATAAAGTGTCAGGTCGTCATGCCGAATACCCGGGGTCGATTCCACATATGAGCACAATCTGTGAAGTCCATTTCTGGTGTTCCCCGTCGTGATATTGCAAGAAGCGGCGAAGGACCATACTTACTCAATTGTATCTGTTAATGATGTGGGGCGGTGGGGTAGCCTAATGGTTAAAGCGTTCGCTCGTCACGCCGAAGACCCGGGTTCGAATCCCCACATGGGCACAATGTGTGAAGCCCATTTCTGGTGTCCCCCCGCCGTGATGTTGCTGGAATATTGCTGAAAGCGGCGTAAAACCAAACTCAGTCAGTCAGTTAATGATGTTGTTTCTTTTGCTTCAGTTAAGAATAGTACATTTATGTGTACTGACCCTAACAGTCTCCCGTGCTGGGATTCGAACCAGGGACATTCTGATCCGAAGTCGGACGCCATGTCCACATGACTAAAGAGGTTAACTTATGGAATGACTCAGGGTCTGTATGACAGACTAGGTACTGAGACTTAGTTTGCTAAATTTAATATGTCAGTCCCTAATATGTCAGGCACCAATGTAGCGGCCATAACATTTCCGCGAGTCCCGTGCTGGGATTAGAACCACGAACCTTCTGATCCCAAGTCGGTCGCCTTGCCCACATGACCAAAGAATAAAATCAGCAGGTTGGCAAGGTAAGGATGTCATCTGAGAGAGTGACTCCACCCCCTGCTATATATGCATCGGTGGTTAGTTAAAAACTGAGTCTGGGGCAGATCACCTAATGGTTGATACTATGAGCAACGTCTCTCAAGGTCATGGATCCATGACAATCAACCAGGTAACCCATTATGATTGACTCTCTCACGACATGTATTGCGTGAGTGAGTGAGTTTAGTTTTAAGCTGCACCAGCAATATTCCAGCTATATGGTGTGTGTGTGTGTGTGTGTGTGTGAGAGAGAGAGAGAGAGAGAGAATAATCCAGTCTGGACCAGACAATCCAGTGATAAACAGCATGAGCATCGATCTACGCAACTGGGATACGATTACATGTGTCAACTAAGTCAGCGAGCCTGACCACTCGATCCCTAGTCGCCCCTTACCACAAGCATGGGTTACTAAAGACCAGTTTTAACCCGGATCTTCACGGGTAGACATGCATTGAAGTCTTGAGGGCATAGTATGCGTCGTGATGTTTTCAATTATTTTTTGTGAAGCCAACTGTTCTATTAATTGACCAGGTAGTTGTTTTTAATAATGACCCAAAAGATCTTCGTTTAAAAATATCTAGATCACACGTGAGTTACTATGAAACTTAAGCGTATCGTCATACGAATTTAGCTGACAAAAAAGTTTTCAATATATCTATTCACATTTCGAGGACTTAACAGGTGAAGTAAATAAACCATGCGTTTGTAACTATTTAAAGCATTGCATTCTCAGTGGCTTTTTACTGTTTATTTAAAAAAATCAATTTTTTGTTTGGTTGTTTATGTCTCACTCAGCAATACTTCAGTTGTTTAATAAATAAGCGAATCTGGACAAGACAGTCCAGTGATTAACATCATGAGCTTCTAAGCATTTTGGGATATGATGAGTCAACAAAGTCATTTATCATCCAAAACTGGCTCTCACAGTAGGTATAGTTTAGGTGAGATCAAGCGATATCTACATTGTGGATATCGCAACAATTGAATTGTCATAATGCTGTTACATCACCAGTTAATGACCTCACAATGCTTTGACATCACTAAGAACACAGTTGGTGACATCACAATGCTATGATGTCATAAAGCTGATGACGTCACAATGACATGACTTCACAGAGATCAGTGCTCAAGTAGCCCTATGGCAGTTTTGTGTTCAGAATAAAATCATTCTTTTACTGATAACTGATGAAGAATGATTTTGGATGATATATAAAATCTCACCCTCGTGTCTTCTGACATCAATATATCAACACCCGTTGATTTAAGTAAAAATATCCTCGGCAAACCTCGGATGATTGTAACTTTAATCAACTCGTGTTGATATGTTTGATATCAGAAGACTGACTGACTGACTGGCTGAGTTTGCTTTTACGCCGCTTTTAGCAATATTCCAGCAATATCACGGCGGGGAACACCAGAAATGGGCTTAACACATTGTGCCCATGTGGGGAATCGAACCCGGGTCTTCGGCGTGACGAGCCAACGCTTTAACCTCTAGGCTACCCCACCGCCCCATATCAGAAGACACTTGGGAGAGATTCTCCATATATTACGATGTGTTAGCTTGGTATATGAGGAGAGCTAAATGCCATGCAAGGTTTAGAAGATTACCACTCGAGTCAAAACCAAGCTACTACGTACTGCTGTCAACCCTGGAGACATAATCAGGGCTAATCTTGGAATCGAACCGACGATCTAAGGGACGCAACTCTGCATAGCAAATAAGGCCCCTTGTAACGACTGGGCTACCCACGTCTCTGCACATTCTCATGAACTCACAGAAAATGCAGTTAGAATCTCTCGTGGCAATTCCGGATAAGAGACGGGTCTTTAGCAAATTATGTTTGTCGTAAAAGATTACTGAATGACTGGTTTGGTCAGTTATGCTGGATGATATCGTGCCATCGTTGCTGAGTTAACTGTGTAGATCGATGTTCAAGATGACAATCATTGGTTTGTCTGGTCCATGATCGATTTCAGTATTGCTGAGTGTAGATTTTAAACAACAATCAACATACATCAAAATCTTCGTCGGTATATGCTTTATTTATGCCTCTTAATCGTTTTTTATTAATTACCATCATATATATAATCTGTTTGATAGAGACGTCACCTTATAGTTATTGCGTTGTGACGCCAGTTAATCCGTTCGACCTGTCAGTGGAATTTGATATTGTACATACATGGCTTACACGATTGTTTATGACCACGATGTAATAAGGTTATACTATATTCACGGATATTGATCCTTTCTGCTCAATGCTTTAACGACACTTATGTTTCCATATCAACCTGCTGATTGTTTTACCCCAGCAGCGGTTCTCCTGAAATATATACTTCATAGTTAGTAGTTTTCACCCATATGTTACATTCACAAAGTACGGCGAAAACGGCCCTGTGCCAAAACGGCACCAAACATAACAGGAGTTGTAGCCGATAACAATACGCCTACGGGGGCGATTTACCACACACACGCACGCACACACACACGCACTCATGCACGCACGCACACCAAACAAACAAAAAACAACAACAACACAGCACAAATAAACAAAACAACAACAAACAATTCTTTTCAGTATCTTGTCAACTTTTTAAGAATTTGAACATTTCTCCCTAGTAGTACAATTCATTTGTTTTCTCGTTTTAAATCGATATTTTTTACAGTCCCATTTCTAGTTAGGATAAGTATTATCTGTAAGTGTGCGTTTTATATCAAAATCTGTACGATTATGTATTTATGTCAAACACAAAAGGTTAACGAAACATCAAATAGATTAATATAAGTGCCAACAAAATAGTCCTCTTTACTTCGACAAACAAGTATCACCTGAAGAAGGGGCAAGAAGTAGCCAAGAAACGTCGTGTTATACAATAAAGAAGAAGTTGTCATCCATTTACTCGTCTTATAAATATATTTTGTGTATAACTCATGTAAATAATTGATTACCCAAGGTCTATAGTTCGTGGGAATATTTTCATTACGTTTTCCAATCACCCGTGACCGTCTCCTTGGTCTTGTGGACTGAGAAGAAGTCGTGGGGTGATTTAAAGGATGGTACTTGTTGTTACCCTGCAATGGCTCAGGAGAAGCGAGTACTGGATGACTGCGGGTCAGCAAACGCTGTGCCTGAGTGAGAACGTGAGACAGAGACTTGTAAATTTCCTCTATTCTCATCCTGAAAAAAAATGCTATTTAGGGTAACAATGTCTGTGTTCAAATCAACCATCACATAATCAGATTCAACGGTAGTAGCGTCTTTCTCTCTTTCTAGACATTTTCGTGCAGACATCCGTCACGCTCTCTGGTCAAATCCTTAGCCGTTTTATGCCAGCAGTTTTTTGTCCATTTTGACGGGGAGCCGATTTAGTCTGAGGTCGCTGGCTAAACTGTCATGGCTGCTCACTTGAGATGGCGTAAATACCGTCTTTCCTGATACTAACCAACTGATTATCTCAACTTTCACCGACATTTTGCATATACTGACAGTGTAGGTATACGTGTGAACATAGTATGTATTTCCCAAACCGAATTGAATTTATCTCATTAATGGGTTCTACTTTTCAAACTTTAAATGAATAAACATGTTCCGCAAGCCAGCTGATGTCTGCATGCCGATAAATTCTGCCAAATCATTCGATGACAGATTAATAGCGATTCTACTTTTGGCGACCGTAAGCTTTTGTGTATTCCGTTTGTATACTTCATACAATCTCTGAATGCGAAGGCTCATTGTATATGAAGGCGTGTTATTGATTTTCTGAAATCAGATCTGGAATTTTCGGTGGAAAGTCAGACATAACTATTAAACAAGGACATACAGTTTGATATCTCGTTTTGTGGCTAAACTACTGAACTTATTTAAGCTCTTGTATGGATTTCATTCTCTCTAGACATGGGACATTAATGGGGAAAAGAGTATTTATGTGATTGGTTGTCAAACACAGCAGATATCAACCATACTGTATACTTTTTCTGATTATTTTTGGCTATATTTCTGACATCATGTGTTATTCTATGTTGACATCAGTTTCTCACTTACTCTTTACAATGATGAACACATGGTATGTACGAGGTCGAGCACATCTGTCTAAACACATTCTCCTTGAACCATTGTCACAGAGATTGAGTAATTCACACAGTAAGGCTGAAGGGGTCATTGTCGGCAGGTGGACTACAGATATGTACCCCAGTATATATATAGAAATGTACCCTAGCCAAAATCAAAATGCTGAAACGTACCTTAGGATGAGACCATTCTGCATCATTTTCTTGATCAGAGGGTGTAGCTTAGTGGTTAAAGCGTCTGCTCGTCACGTCAAAGACCCAGGTTAGATTCCTGACATGGGTACAATGTGTGATATTGCTTGAATATTGCTAAAAGCGACATAAAACCGTACTCACTCACTCACTCACTCTTGATGAGAACTGTCATTCTCTTGTATGAGATGCATTTGATTGTGTTGTATAAGAAATGACTATACACACTGTAATTTGCGATGCACAACGGATGTGAACTATGACATGAACCGCTTTCAGTTTGGGGTTGAGGAATATGGACACACCTGCCACTTAGGGTACAAGGTATGTTTATGTATTTTGACTTTGTTTAGGATACATTTCTGTATACAGGAATGTACCTGGGGTATATATCTGTTGTACCCGTGTGGACAATGACCCTTTAGACCTAATGTATGTAAGTCAACTTGTGGTACCAATAGAAACTGAAAATAAGTTCAAGTTTGCTGTACCACCTACTTTGATTCTTGTGAAACTATGTTGAAATGGATTGTGGGGACTATTTCATATCTTAGTCTGTGGAAATATTCTATGGTAGATTCCTGTTGTACTGTGAAGAGAAGGTGTGAAAATGATGGAAATAGAACATCCTGTTGACTGACTCAGTTTTGCGATCATCATAAGTCACGTGATCACACCCACACCTCAGATAAAAGAAGAAATTTAATTTATTTCTGATGTTACATTCATACATCTAACTGTATTTGTTATAATGAACATGAACCATTTTGTGTTCATATTTTATCTGGAAGCAAGTGTAGATGTATGGCCATAATCAGTCAACAGTCTTACTTGTACATGACATCATTTACTGTTGATTTCATGATTTAGTCATGTCATGTATGTTTTGAGAAAGTATTAATATAGGTTATGTGTGAATCTAAGCTAAAAAGTATATTCATCAAGTTCAGGGACGACAGATTGTAAGTAGTGACTGAACGATATTTGCCTTCTCATGTGTTGGACTTCTGTTTAAATGTTTAACACCCTCGCAGATGTATTTTACAGTTATACCTTAGCATGGTGCAAGTTTAGTGTACATGTATTGTTTCCTGAAAAAGGTTGTGCTCATCAATTTTTTTATAAAATATAGCTATTTTGTAAAAACAAGCTAAATTAGAGCATTAGCAAATGGCGACCGGACTCGTTGTTGTGGTGTTTTTGTGTGTAAATAGGTAGGTACGATAAATGTCATGCTGACTAATATGTAATAATATGTTGAAATAATGAAAACGTACAGGTTAATATGTATTTTATTCATCATTCACAACATAAACGCTGTAATCGTGGCAAACATCCTGGCAGATATATCGGTAACCTCATCATGACAGGGCACTGGCGAGCTGAAAAATATTTCCGTGAAATTGTATCTCATAGATAAGACGACCCCCTTCTACAGACATATTTTTGGGGTCCTCAAAATTCGTCTTATAGACGATCATATACGGTACTTGCGAAAATATGAATGACAGGGTGTTGACTATAATTGGCTTTTCTGGTCATTCTCAAATAGTATGCTTCCAACTGGATGAAAAAAAGCAAAAGTAGAACAAGCGGCAATGATACACATTCTTTAATAGGTACCGGCGGCAGTTGGTCCCTGGTGTTAACTGGTTGCTGGCCACTATCATTGTATCTATTGTTACTTTCTGACTGTTGTTGGGTTCATTTTAATATTAGGGTTATTACTTTTGGTTAATTATTTGAGGATTGTGATCATTGTTTTAAATGGCAGTAATTTGTCTGGTGTTTGCTTGTCACAGGGACACTTGTGTGTATACGACATGGATCTTATTGTGGTAGTTTGTGTCACATAATTTTTCTTTCTGCAGTTAGAAATAAGATCCCCAACAATTTATGCTGGTGAGAAGAGACAACTTAATGGACTGGGTGACTTCTTACTTGACAGGATAGCTTGTGAGCGAGTGAAAGTGGCTTTACACCATGATAACATTGATATTCCAGCTATGTCCTGGTGGGAGACACAGTGTGTGGGCTTCACACATTGGAGACCCGTGAAGGTCCGGGCTAGAATGAACCTTCAGTAACCCATGCTTGTCGTAAGAGGCAACTGGATTGGGTGGTCAAGCTCTCTGGCTTGGTTGACACATGTCATCGGTTTCCAATTGTGCAGATCGGTGCTCATGCTGTTGATCACTGGATTGTGATCCAGACTCGATGATTTACAGGCTGCCGCCATATAGCTGGAATATTGCTGAGTGCGGTGTAAAACTAAACTCACTCACTCTCACTCTCACTCTCACTCTCTCACTCACATGTACTCTTGGGGGATTTTGAACCCAGGCCTCTGTCGAGATGAGCTTTAAGCACCAGGCAACCCGGCCCCACAAACATCAGCTGGCATTTTTTATCTGTTCAATTACTGCATATACAGTGTGTAGCATGCAGCGATCCAGCTCCATTCATTAAGAGATATACCAATGGGATAGTGGTATACTAATATACTATTGGCATGATTGGGGTGCTAGGATAGTCCTTAGTGTATACATATACTATAGACATAATTGTAGTGATGAGATAGTGGTATATTAATACGCCATAGGCTTGGAGAGTCCTTTGTATATATAGGCGTACTATAGACAATTGTAGCAATGGGATAGCATAAATTAATACACTATAGGCATGATAGGGGCATTGGGTAGTCTTTTAGTTAGAGCTTTCAACCATCATGCTCACCCAGATTTTATTCCCCACATGGTGGCATGTTTTAAGCCTATTTCTGTAGCTCCCAATCCTGGTAGTGCTGGGATATAAACAGGCATGCTGAACCAACTCACTCAGAACCTGTAGGTCAGAGACCAACTGTCAGGTCACCGTGACCTGTAGCCTGGGGAAACCCCTGTGCTCAGTGAAGTGATGACGTAATATGACTTTGGTATGATGCAATCATCTAATGGACCTAACCATGCTCAAAGTTACTGTTCCATATTGACTTAAGCATTCCCACACTGAGCACCTACTAGGTCACTGTGACCTGTAATCTGTAAGGGGAAGCCCCTGAGCTGGGTGTACTGATGATATAATATGACTTTGGTGGGATGCAATCTTCTGCTTGACCTCACCATGCCCATAGATGGTGATCCACTGACTGCAGCTTTGACACTTTTAAGTAAGAATGGGCTCTGTATTTCAATTACTAGTGCGGTAAGACAAAGGATTTGAAGTGAAAAACAAAATATGAAATTATTTTTGGTTTCAGGTTTAATCTCACCATACTCATGTCATGTCCCTTTGTTTTTCAGATTATTTTACTGACAAATATAGTAGTTGGTGTTTGGAAATCAGAAAACAACAAATGTGCTTCTTTCTGACAAATTATGCATTCTTTGAGATTTTATATAGTATGGTGATCTACCTTCAGTTGTTGGTGATCTATAGGCTGTTTTCATATTCTAGTGTCTTCAATAGTTTAAAAGTGTTAGATTTACATACTTCTTTATCTGTGATAATGTATAGTCTGTTTGCAGTGAAATGTACCGGTGAATTTCACTTTAAACAAAAACGTAAATCAAATAAAGTGAAATTAGAAGTGCAAATCCTCATGATTTTACCTTGCCAATTGAACATTTAAATCTTAGAATTTTATTCAACTTAGGATAAAAGTTGTTTAACAAACAATCATAGTTTCAAATTGCTATTATTGGTTTGTATTACAAGAGGGTATGCACATTAAATGAAACACCAAAAAACAAGTAGGGTTGGTCTAAGTTAACACTCATCACGAACCGCTCGTGCATTTGTTTCACTGTTCCAATTACCGCGTTTACTCCCTTGTAATACAAACCAATAATAGCGATTTGAATCTATGATTGTCTGTTAAACAACTTTTATCCTAAGTTGAATAAACTTCTGAAATTTAAATGTTTAATTGGCAAGGTAAAATTATGAGGATTCGCAATCTTAATTTCACTTTATTTGATTTACTTTTTTTTGTTTAAAGTGAAATTCATCGGTACGTTTTCTACTATAATTGTTTAGTGTCCCTTGTTGACTCGCGTAATATAGTATGAAAGTGGAAATGAAGTAAAATCGTATCACGGAGTGTCTGATCCCCTTCAATTGTTGCAACTCTTCCCCAGATGCTCACAAAATAACATTGTGTTTTAAGGTTCTATTTTTCTTCCAGGTTAGGATGTCCCTCAAACCTCGACGTGTAGACTTCCCTGCGACCTGGACTGTCCTGCTGGACACTGTGAAGGGTGTGGTCACCTGTGGACGAGTTGCCAGGGCAACATGGACTGACAGATTCCAATATCCTTTATCACTGGTTTAGTAGTGTGATATATGTAATGAGCTTATACACTGGAGGATGATGTACTTCATCTGTATGACATCATTCTTCCTGTCTGGCCAAGGATGGAACCACTGTGCATTGTTTTGAAGGTACTAGTGGTTAGGGACAGGACTTCTACATTTAATGGTTTTAAGAATCTTGGCTAATAATTTAAGCTTGGATTGGTCAAATTAAATTTCGAAAAGAAAACTCTGCATGTTATGTCCTAATATTATGTGTTTTATAGATGTTATGAGTGAGTGAAACGCTGTATGAAGATAAAAATGATATGCTGAAATGTAAATTTGATGAAGTGAAGAACAATTTACAACAGTGTAGAACATATTACTGAAGTGTAGAACAATTTACTGAAGTGTAGAACAAGTTATTCAAGTGTAGAACAATTCACTAAACTGTAGAACAATTTTCGAAAGAGTAGAACAATTTACTGAAGCGTAGAACAATTTACAACAGTGTAGAACATATTACTGAAGTGTAGAACAATTTACTGAAGTGTAGAACAAGTTATTCAAGTGTAGAACAATTCACTAAACTGTAGAACAATTTTCGAAAGAGTAGAACAATTTACTGAAGCGTAGAACAATTTACAACAGTGTAGAACATATTACTGAAGTGTAGAACAATTTACTGAAGTGTAGAACAAGTTATTCAAGTGTAGAACAATTCACTAAACTGTAGAACAATTTTCGAAAGAGTAGAACAATTTACTGAATCGTAGAACAATTTACTGAAATGTAGAACAGTTTACTGATGTGAAATGTAGAACATCTTACTGAAGTGTTCAATAATGTACTTGAGAGGAAGACCAATTCACTAGAGTGTAAAACAATTTAGTTAAGTGTAGAACAATTATATGAAAACTTAAATGGACAATAATTAAGTGTGGAGCAATATACAGAAATGTAGAATGATGTATTAGAGTGTAGAACAATTTTCTGAAGTGTAGAACAATATACTAAAGTAAGCATTTTGTGATTAAACTCTGCAAGGTTAAGTTCTTCTCCATAAAACAACATACTTAAACTTGGGGGCGGTGTGGTAGCCGAGTGGTTAAAGTGTTCGCATGCCACGCTACAGGCCCGAGTTCGATTTCCCCATGTGGGTACATTTCTGGTGTTCCTGTCATATTGCTGAAAACGGTGTATAAACTAACTCACTACTTTAACTGACTATGTGGAACAAAGGAAAAAACTTCAAAGGACATTTCGTTATCATCATCCCACATCATGGACACATCCGGTGCGTCTCTGTCAGTAATAATGTTAACAACTCCACAAGTGACAAGATAAGATAAGATATATCGCTAGGGTTACCTGTAGTGTGAAAATCGGCATCTCTTTGAAAATGCATATCTTCATGATAACCCAGTGACACGGACAGCTATAAATGGATTCATAACAACTACTGTAAAATGTGTTATCATAGTTATGGAGTTTATATTATTTATCAGATGTCTGTTCAAAGATTTCTCTGACAGTGATATATTGCATTCCTTCAGTCACAGTGCCATCAACTAATATGCTGACTAAACTTTTAAGATTCATGTCAGTTGTGAAGAAAAGGGGTGTTACTGAAACAACTCATGCATAATGCGAACACATCGGTTCAGGGTGCCCTCATCAGGTGAATGCAGTGTGCGAAATAGTTTCCAAATTCTGCTGGCCAGTTGGGCTAGCTATGCCTGAAAGTTACTAGCCCACAAAATAATACATAATCTCACAGGATTTGAAAGTGTATTATATAACTTAACAAGTTGGAGAGAGTGACATATTTACAAAATGATCCCATGAAAAGTCACTAGCCAGTTGGGCCAGTGACTGGAGATTTACTGGCCCAACTGGATGTTTACTAGCCACGGGCTAGCGAGCCAGTGGCTATTTCATACACTGGGTGAATATAGCTCTTAAACATTTGACCCGTGAAGATCCGGGTTAGAATTGGTCTCCGGTAACCTATGGTTGTCACAAGAGGTGACCAACGGAACAGGCGGTCATTCTTGCTGACTTGGTTGACACATGTCACTGTGTCCCAGTTGTATAGATCGATGCTCATGATGTTGACCACTGGACTGTCTTGCCCAGACTCGATTATTTACATATCTGCCATATAGCTGGAATATTGCTACAACAATATTGTTCCACAACCAACCAACCAACCTATACATTCAGTATGTATGCTGAAGAAGCTATTGTCTGTAATACTCCTGGTCCACATGAATAGGGGAAAATACGGAAGCCATTTAAATTCACACATTTTTACTGATGTTACTGTTGCTACAATAAATATGATATTTTTCCTTATCCTGACTCATGCTCTTTTTGCTTGTCTTCTTCTTCTTGCGAACATAGTGGAACACTTGTATCTCCCTAATTGAAGCTCCCTTCAATTTAAAATCACTAATTAGTATTCACCACGAGTTACCTCCTTTCCACAAGCGCGGGAACGAGGGCGCCACCTCTACCCATGTGCCTCACTCTCTCCTTCTTCGCCCAGTGAGCTGGACGTGAGAGCGCCTGTGTCTCCCGACACACTATATCCTTTGATTATATTTAGTTAGTTACCTCGTATAGACATCTATAGAGGTTTAGCTAGTATCCTTCAACGATTATATATTGATATTTAGTCGTTTTTCTACAGTTTATTCACGGGGCCGTGTGTTTGTTTCCAGTGGATTACGTTGATGAAAATTCTGTACTATTGCAGATTACGTTTTTTATGCTGCTGCTGATCCACCTTTAATATGATGTACGGCGCCATGTTTATTATATTCACATTGCAGTTGCGGTACTAATTTATCCAATTCTACCTCTTTATTAATATTTACTTTGCGTTTGGCACGCACAGCAGATAGGTCGCGTATGCAGAGTCTAGTATGACTGATACACGGAACCCCTCGCCAGTCTACTGCTGTTGGCCGACTCCCCTCCCGTGTGGTGTTCCGCTAGAGTGGTGGAGAGGTGTGGGACGTAGTCCGCCATCTCCAAGAAGCATTCTGCTTCCCCAGACATCCCATCGTCGCAGCAGAAGACTAGAGGGTTTTTCTACTACATCTCAACAACCGAGACCGTTCCCATCGAAGTTTGGGCCTGTATGATGATCAGCCGGTCATCATACCGGATGTACATCAAAGATTGACCGATGTCGGCACAGATCAGCATGCAGCCTGATGTACCAACGCAGATATGCGATGATCGTCCTGAGGGTCCCATCATTACCAACACTCAACGCAGAGCGTCGCGACACCCAGGGCAGCGTCGACCTCTGAGGGAAAATCAGCGAAGTCTACTAGGACTTTCTCAACCGAGATTGTTCCAGCCGATGACCTGGACCTCTCACGATGATCAGCTGATCATCATCCCCGACGTCACATACAAAAGAAACGCGGCCGGGGACAGCTACAACGACATCAGCAGAGATCACCATGCAGCCTGATGCCTCTACACTGATGTCGGACGATTTTCCGGTGGACCCTCCATTAACACCGCAGATAAAGCACCGGCGACCTGCGTCGCAGACCATCCCAGAAGACATGATGCGACAAATTATGAACATCATGGAGGACCAATATCTGCGGTGTAGCAGGGTCGAGCAGCTTCGCGAAGGCTCCAACGTGACAACACCCCAGAGGCACCCCCGCCAGCGTAGCAGCCAGGACGATGTCACCTTCGGCGAAGGAAGTCACGGACCACCTTGGACGAAGGACCTAGATGTACAGCCGCTGGCGAAGGCCTTCGCGAAGGCGAAAGGACCTAGATGTACAGCCTTCGCTGGCGGAAAGAACCTAGATGTACAGCCTTCGAAGGACTTAGCGAAGGCAGGATAGATCATCACCTTATGCGGTTTCATCCCTAGATGTGGACTCGGACCATCAGACATCACGGAAGCCTTCGCGAAGGTCATATCGTCGTTCCCCGGACCGACGCAGAGGAAGCTTCGGCGAAGGCATCGCGCGAAGGACACCTGAATCCAGATCATCATCATCTAGAAGGACATCGAGGGACTATACAAGAGCTTCAGCGAAAACTATCAACGTTCCCCTCACAAGTCTCCGAAGATCAACCCATAGACAAGTTGATCATCGATATCAAGTATAAGAACTACAATCGTATATTGGTTCTGTTGAATCCATGACGAGGCGTATGTTCGCTGGCCTAAATAGATCTAGAACGATCAATTAGACACTTATCACCAGACTTCGTAAAACACGACTTCTGAATATGATAAGATGATCCATGCGGCCATGCTTAGGCAAGCGCTTCACGATCCCACATCCTGTTAAACACAGAGGCTGTTCACGAAACAAGCTCATATATATATTTATATATATATATATATATATACTAATCGGGCTTTGACTTCGACACCTTCGCGATGGTCGCGAAGGCTAAGTAACTCAAGTCTACTTCACCCAGAAGATCTAGAAGGGATACCGAGAACCAGCGAAGTCTCGGCGTTCACCGAGGAAGTCTCCTCCAAGGTTTCCATATACTCTAGCCACTTTCGTCATATATAGCTACTTTCGTCAGTCCGTTCAAGGCGTCGCATAAGTTGATTATCAACTGTATGCCAGATGCCGTCTATAAGCCTCACGCTGAAGATAATTGCTCAGGCTATTTACAACACAGAACGTCGCTGTATTATTAGTCAACGACATTTCATAGATCTTCACAGAAATCAACTATTCATTATAAATTGCTAATATACAATCCCGGACGACGATACGATTATCTACATGCGTGACCATTGCAGCATATCTGCAGACAATTCAATATCGAAATTGAACAGCAGCCTTGTTACAGCGAGTATAACTCTTAATCGTCAAAGTTTCTGAGAAGAAATATGTACAACAAGTTCAACGTTAATTCTACAATTATGACGATACATTCATGTATACAGTCTACAAGCTCACAACTTGCAAGTTGTTTATACCCTTATATATAAGGAAGTCGGAATTATATTCAAAACTGAAATTACTTTCCACGACAACCAGGAAAATAACCTACCCAGCATAAAATTACAGAGCGAGATATTTGGCGACCGAGGTTTCAGCGGTTACCATTAACCCTCGAAACACGTGGTCACTCGGATAACCGGGAAGCTACGGTGAAGACCGGCGTTTATGCTAATATCAACGACGACAAGAATTTATTCAAGGTGGGTTTTTCCCCGCTACACCGGTGACATCACAGCGGGTATTATACAGAATCAAAATGCCTTGTTCTGATTGGACCGCTGAGGGACAACGACCTACACAGAGGTCGATCTCTATTCACAGTTCAAGACTTACGTCACAAGTGACAACTATATATCAGTGAACGAAAGCAAGCCTCATTACAGTCCAGTTAACCTGAACATTCATGATTAGACTGCCTTTCTTCAAGATAGAGACCTCCCCTGTCAAGTTAAGACGAGGGATGCGGCAGTCAGGCGATTTTACATAAAGTTCAACGAGGACAGACACACCTGGTTGTGCACCTACATCGCCAAGGACTTCGAGCCAATTACCTAGGCGAAAAGATACAAGTGGATCTAAATCCACAGCGTTTCAGACTACAGCTGAATTTCATCAGCGACTAACACAACTAGATGGTTAGTAAACCTACTAAACTTCTGTTTGGAGAATAAACGGAAATTTCACGCCAACCTGGGGATATGAATATAGTGCTCAACACCTCACAAGTGAGGTTTATGAACACGCCTGGATGACATACTTGGACCCCATGATACGATGATTCTATCAAGATGGCCAGCAAGAGCACTGTAAATTTATCTCCACCAAACCAAACAGGAGTAAAAATGCAACAAATTATTTCCTCTATCATCAACTTACAATGAGAGAAGTCTCATGTACTATATCTCCATTTGGATCAGAACTGTCATACTAACGTGCATATGCGGATGGACCTATTCCGACCTCCATGAGCTTAATACTCATGATATTATAGCTAACTTCTACAATTGTTCCACACAAATGTGATTGAAATATTGGAGGGTTTATTTCTGGAGATCCGATATGGTGGTTGCAAACCATTATCTGAGAGATATCACCACCGAGGACGTCTCAGGTATACACCAATTCGATCCCATGGTCCTCGCACAACAGCTGACAGTTCGGAGAAGATAAGTCAATCTAACAGATTTTTACTTATCTTATAACAATACTAAATAGCTTCATGCTATATATAATTTACTTAAGTTCCTTTTATCATCACAGTACTATGATTATTACATCATACAATATATAAGTTAACAACTCTACAGAGTTTGTTATTATATATATTTACCTTAAGTTATTCATATCTTAAGAGTAATATTATGGTTACATGATAAATGCATCAGCTAACAAACTCTACAGAGTTTTTGGCTATTTTATACATAGCTTAAGTTAATTAAGCTAACAAACTCGGAGTTTTACTATTATATAGGTAACTTAAGCTAATTATACCTTAAGCATAGTACTATACTCATATTATTAAAATATATTGGCTAACAAACTCTAAGGAGTTTTGCTATTATATAGGTAGCTTAAGCTTATTCATATCTTAAGCTTAGTACTATGTTTATATCATATAAGTAGATTAGCTAACAAACTCTAAAGAGTTTTTGCTATTTGGCTTAAGTATCATCATATTTCTAAGCAATATGGTTATATTATAACATGTATTAGCTAACAAACTCTACAGAGTTTTAGCTATTATATATGTAACTTAAGCTTATTCATATCTTAAGCTGCAGTACTATGTTTATATCATATAGGTATATTAGCTATCAAAACTCTAAAAGAGGGTTTTGCTATTATATATTTAAGCTAAGTTTCATCATATTTTTAAGCTTTATAGTTACATTATAACATGTATTAGCTAACAAACTCTCTACGGAGTTCTTGCTATTATATATGTAGCTTAAGTTTTCCTTCATAAGCTCAATACTAGGTTTATATCATAGCTAACAAACTCTAAAGGGTTGTTTTCGCTTATTATACAATTAGCTTAAGTTTTCATCATATCTTAAGCAGTATGGTTACATTATAAAGGTAGATTAGCTAACAAAAACTCGACAGAGTTTTGTTATTATATATATATAGCTTAAGTTTCATCATAACTTAAGCTCAGTACTATAAGCTTAGTACTATGGTTACACTATAAACATATTAGCTAATAAACTCTACAGAGTTTTTTGGCTATTATATATGTAGCTTAAGTTAATAATATCTTAAGCACAATACTATACTCATATTGTAAAATATATTAGCTAACAAACTCTACGGAGTTCTGCTATTATATATGTTGCTTAAGTTCATTATATCTTAAGCACACTACTATACTCATATTGTAAAATATATTAGCTAACAAACTCTCACGGAGTTTTGCTATTATATATGTAGCTTAAGTTAATTATATCTTAAGCACACTACTATACTCATATTGTAAAAATATATTAGCTAACAAAACCCTACAGAGTTTTGCTATATATATGTAGCTTAAGTTAATTATATCTTAAGCTCAGTACTATACTAATATTATAAATATATATTAGCTAACAAACTCTACAGAGTTTGGCTATTATATATGTAGCTTAAGTTAATAATATCTTAAGCACAATACTATACTCATATTGTAAAATATATTAGCTAACAAACTCTACGGAGTTCTGCTATTATATATGTTGCTTAAGTTCATTATATCTTAAGCACAGTACTATACTCATATTATAAAAATATATTAGCTAACAAACTCTACAGAGTTTTTGCTATTATATATGTAGCTAAAGCTTATTCATATCTTAAGCTCAGCATTATATCTATATCATATAAGTATATTAACTAACAAACTCTAAAGAGTTTGCTATTATATAATTAGCTTAAGTTTAATCATATCTTAAGCTTAGTACTATGTTATATCTTAAAGTATTTTAGCTAACAAACTCTAAGGAGTTTATACTAGCATATTAACAAGCTTAAGTCTATTAGTCTTAAGCATTGTATTAATGTTATATATACTTTATCATAATAAGTACATGATAATAACCTTTATATGGCAGCTGATAAGTTAGCAGCAGGAATTCATCAATTCAGTGCCTTTATGAAGTTCCCATAGGGTTATTACAATCATCACAGTTCAAATCACTAATTATTAAAAATCCAAAGTATTAGATATTCCCACCTCCGTTCCGTTAGGATGCTACAAGCAAAAAGAGCATGAGTCAGGATAAGGAAAATATGTAATTTTTGAGTAAAATTGATATTTTATACTTATCCTGACTCATGAGGTCAGCCCTCCCATCCTCCCCAAATAACACTTTGGATTTCCCTGTAAATTCAAATGTTGGGCTCAGTATATGAGGAGAGAGTGAGGCACATGGGTAGAGGTGGCGCCCTCGTTCCCGAGCTTGTGGAAAGGAGGTAACTCGTGGTGAATACTAATTAGTGATTTTAAATTGAAGGGAGCTTCAATTAGGGAGATACAAGTGTTCCACTATGTTCGCAAGAAGAAGAAGACAAGCAAAAAGAGCATGAGTCAGGATAAGTATAAAATATCAATTTTACTCCAAAAATTACATATTTAGAGAAGCAAAATATATTTTGCATTTTCTGTCAACTACACTTAGTTTCGATCCGTGAGTAGACACAATATATATGATTATGAATTCTTTGAATAATGTGGACCAAAGTTATAATTATTGGTAACTGCCAGTTGTCTGTGGTCTGTGTTTGCCGCGATTAGGACCCCATCGTGGGGGATCGACTTATGCACGAGACATACCATTTTGACACTGATTTTAAGGGTCAAGTTTGGGGGTCGTCTTATCCATGGGGTCGTCTTATAGACAGTCATATACGGTAGTTCTTACAACCAAATAACATTCTCATAATGTTGTACATAGACCGTCTTCTATGGCACAGTAATATTCAGAGTAGAGTTGCCTCCCTTGGCCCCACCAGGAGTTGTGATTGTGATTGTTGGTTCTATTCCTGGTTTGCTCCAACTGCTTCCAGATTTGTCACCAAAGTATGCATGTCTGAGAGCTGCGTCAGTCCAGGCAATTTTCCTACATTAAGCTAACACGCTCTGATATTTACTGTTATAAGCAGTGTTAAAACAAACATTAGACCATTATATACATGCTGAAATTAATTCCGATAGCTTTATGGTCACAAACATTTTAGTGACAGTTTTGTTGGTTGTCTCGTATTTCAGCCGAGTTGATGTATATGAGTTATCTGCCCTTGACAAAGAGACTGATGTGTATCAGTTATGTGTAGCATTCCCGGAACCTCTTGGCGATAAGCTGTACCAGGAGACCAAGTCCTTCTTGGAGGCCCATGTGTCATCCCTTCTCAAGGTCAGTAGATGCAAGGTTAAGGCCATCATAACTAATGACACTGTGACGATCAACCCGTGAAGATAGGTTAGAATTGGTCTTCAGTTACCCATGCTTGATGTAAGAGGCAACTAACGGTATCAGGTGGCCAGGCTCGCTGACTTGGTTGACACATGTCCCACTCCCAGTTGGGTAGATCGGTGTTCATGCTGTTGATCACTACTGTGTGGTCCAAACTCATTTATTTACAGACTGCGGTTATTTACAGGTAGCTGGAGTATCCTGAATGCAGTGTTGAATAACAAACCAACAAAGACACCACCAGTGCTAAGGCTGTTCTACATGAATGCATCATATCTCGTTCCCGAGGTTACATTATGTACCATAGTCATCATGTCATTGTTGTATCATTGAACAACTTACAGAAACAGAAAAAATTATGAGGATTCGCAATCTTAATTTCGCTTTAATTGATTTACTTTTTTGTTTAGAGTGAAATTCATCGGTACGTTTTCACTGCAAACAGACTATAACTTAGCACTTTATTTTCTATCTATTGTGCTTGTACCTTACAGGCCAGATGGGTGTTTGATAGTGAGCAAAACATTTCGTTGCTAGGTTCATAGAAATACAATCTATTGTACAGTATGATTTTTAAATGGATGAGTAGAAGATTATTTTTTTTCAGTCATGGCCTGGATTGGGTCCCTATAGACAGCATCATTTTAACTTTTAGGATTGGTTAGTCTGATGGTTGCATTGAATTTAACATTCATGTTTGACTTCATGTCCTCTTAACCTTATTTACAAAATCATGATACATATTTGGTTACATGGTCAGTGAGAATCTGAAGATTCTCTGTATGAATTTCGCTTAAATTTGAATCCAGTATGTTTCAGACAAGCAATTAGGCCCTTGTTGATTATGGTGACCTTGACCTTATTTTCAAGGTCATTGAAAGTATTTGACCTGTCTGCCTGATGTTTGCAATATCCAATATTGTAACAAATCATCTTAGGGAAGTTTAGTGATTCCCATTGATAATATTGACCTTGACCTTATTTTCAAGGTCATGGGAAGCCTCTGACGAGTGTTGTTCATGATGTTTTTTTAGGCTGTGCAGAGCTGTGGGTCGGAGAACCTGCTGGCCAACTACCACAAACACTGGGAGGAGTACAGTCAAGGCTCCCACTATCTGAACCAGCTGTACGGGTATGTACAAACAACATGCTCAGTGATGTTGAATCTTGGTAATGTTACAGGGTGGTGAGTGAGTGAGTGAGTGGTTCAGTATTTGCTCAACATACTGAAAACCCAGGTTCATTCACCACATAGTTGAACCTTCTTTCTGTTGTCTGCTGCCATGATATTGCTGAAAAATCCTAAAGTTATTTTTTCTAACCCCCACTATGCAAGCTAAGATTTGACAGTTTTGTATGTACGCATGTAAGATCACATTTATTGAGTATTTTTAAAAATTCAAGCGTACTTGTACGCAATAGATTTAATAGGAATTGTGTTTTGACATAAATATTTGCGTAATTTACGCAGATACCCAGCTTATCTGTACCTCTGTGGGTACAATGTTGGAAACCCATTTTCTGGTGTCCAAGGCTATGATATATCTGGAATATTGCTAAAAAGTGGTGTAAAACCATACTCACTTGTTAAAAGCTCACAAAAGCAAGATAAGGGTAAAGCTATCCATATGATAGCATTGGATGTACATTGATGTCCAGTTTAAAATTTCTCGTTGACATCAACACCATAACGGATTGTTAGATGTCACGATTACCTTGAATAATTAGAAAAATCTAGCACTTTTGGAAGAGTGAGTGAGTTTAGTTTGATGTTTTTAGCAATATTCCAGCAATATCACGACAGGAGACACCAGAAATGGGCTTTGCACATCCTACCCTTGTGGGGAATCAAACCCGGGTCTTTGGCGTAAGGAGCAAATGCTTTAACAACTAGGCTACCCCACTGCCCCACTTTGGAAGAATGTATTACCATATTTAACATATGTTATATTTGGGATTACACTTTCTTAGTAAAGTACTGATTCTAAAGTACTGTCGGAAATAGAAAAAAAAAAGTTTTTAGGCAGTTACTCTGTATCCCTAAAATTTACACAACTGCAAATAGCATATGTCGAAATAACCCACATCGGCCTAACTGGGCGTTCAGTGGGATGCATAATAGGATATCCAGAAAAGCATGTTTACTCGTAAAATCGGGCAAAACTTGGTCATGGCAATTAGGTCGCTCAGCAAGGTATGACGACGGACCGTCGACTCACCTGCTGCCTACAGACACAAGGGGTCATCTCAAAGATATTTTGTGTTTTTTCATGTGTGTTACCACCGACTTCTAGAATGCCACTCAAACAAAATAAAAAGTCATGCTGAAGACCCGGGTTAGATTCCCCACATGGTAGTATGTGTGAAGCCCGTTTCTGGTGTACCCCGCCATGATATTGCTGGAATATTGCTAAAAGAGGCGTGAAAACAAAACTCACTCACTCAATCATTGATTCAAAAACCCAGCCATGTCTTGTTCCTGCAAGATAATTCTCAGTCGTCTCCTAACTCTGTATTTTGTCATTGCTACAGCTACTTGAACTCCACCTTCATCCGGAAACAGAAAGTGAGTGACGCTGACCTCAACTATGGCGGATTTGCCATGGACATGGCGGACCAGATGCTGGAGATAGGAGAGGTGAGGGTTGAAGATTGCAGCGAATAGTGGTACATGGTTGTGGTTGGTGGGACACTGTTGTAGGGTAGTGGTACATGGTTGTAAGGTGGTGGGACATGGTTGTAGGGTAGTGGTACATGGTTGTAAGGTGGTGGGACATGGTTGTAGGGTAGTGGCTCATGATTGTAGGGTTGTAGGGTGGTGGTATATGGTTGTAGGGTAGTGCTACATGGTTGTAGGGTAGTGGTACATGGTTGTAGGGTGGTGGGACATGGTTGTTGGGTAGTGGTACATGGTTGTAGGGTTGTGGGACATGGTTGTATTGTGGTGGTACATAGTTGTAGGGTGGTGGGACCTGGTTGTAGGGTAGTGGTACATGATTGTAGGGTAGTGGGACATGGTTGTATTGTGGTGGTACATGGTTGTAGGGTGGTGGTTCATGGTTGTAGGGTAGTGGGACATGGTTGTAGGGTAGTGGGACATGGTTGTAGGGTGGGGGTACATGGTTGTAGGGTGGGGGTACATGGTTGTAGGGTGGTGCTACATGATTGTAGGGTGGTGGTACATGGTTGTAGGGTGGTGGTTCATGGTTGTAGGGTTGTACATGATTGTAGGGTTGTGGTACATGATTGTAGGGTTGTGGTACCTGATTGTAGGTGGCTCATGATTGTAGGTGGTGGTACATGATTGTGGACATGATTGTAGGGTGGTGGTACATGGTTGTAGGGTAGTGGTACATGATTGTAGGGTGGTGGGACATGGTTGTAGGGTGAGGTACATGGTTGTAGGGTAGTAGTACATGGTTGTAGGGTGGTGGTACATGATTGTAGGGTAGTGGTACATGATTGTAGGGTGGTGGGACATGGTTGTAGGGTGGTGGGACATGGTTGTAGGGTAGTGATACGTGGTTGTCGAGTAGACACTTGCATTATCACCAACTATGCTGTCAGATTGTGAACAAGATGAGCGCTTGTTTCAGCTCGCCCTGGACACGTGGAAACGGTTGATGATTGAGCCACTCAAGACTCAGCTACTCAACCTGATATTACAAGAAGTCAAGAAGTAGGTCACAACCAACTTTACTCATTGTTTGTACTGTAATATTTTCTGGAAATACCTGGTTTCTAGAAGGAAATATGAGAGCATGGTTGTCCTTCTCATCCCAGTCACTGCTTGGCTATGAAGGCAGTTACATCCCTTTATTGTGCAGTTCAGAACTCTGATTATGCCTGATTGTAATTAAAGGTCACTTTGAACCACACTTTACTAACTTTCAGTCTTTTTCTGCTCTGTATGTTATATATGCTATATCTTGCTGTGTATTCATGTGTTCAGGGACAGGGGAGGTAACTCTGTGAACCAGACTGTTGTCCATGGCGTTATCAACTCCTTCGTCAATGTGGAAGAATATAAGAAGAAGTATTCAATGCAGGTAAATGTCTCGTTGGCTGTCCTGCAGCTTTGAGTAAATGGGTGGCGGAGTTATTTAAATGAGAGAGTTTCAGTTATGCTCCCAAGTTTGTCAGCAACATGCCTTTGGTCATGGGTTTAACCAAAGTGATAAATGTGTGAGAGCCAGTCATTAATACCAAAACTCAAGCATCATTTATATTGAGCAGCAGGTGCAACCGGTTTTGGTCTGGTGCAACCTTTATTACCTAAGGTTGCACCAGGTGCAAGTAAGTTTAAGTTAAGCAATCGAGCTCTGGTAATGGGTAGTAAATGCTGCTTTAGTTTATCTTGTGCAGCTCAGAAGCTGATATTCAAACCCAATTCTGAAGTGAATGTCGGTGAAACTTCCAAAATGTTTACTAAATAAGTTATGTCTGTTAGTTTGGTAAAACAGTCCTAAATGTTTTGAGGTGACCTTCATGTCAGTGACAACATAACCCTTAAACTAGAAAGGTCTTTGTATGTTTAGTGTTACATTCTGTATAAAAATTAAATATTATTCACTGAAATATTATGAAAACATAATGGCAAGAGACAACTTTTATATCATGATTTTTAGTTACATGTTATTAATATTAGTTATCATGGTAAAATCTTTCTATAAACGGTTTGTGTTAACGAAATAGATTTAGCTGTTGCTATAGGGTAAAACAACAGTATCATTAGATAAAACCTGACAATGAAGTAAATGGCTGACATTCATTCAGCGTGTATATGTTGTCCCCTGTGTTGTTGCAGCTGTATGAGGAGTTGTTTGAGACGCCGTTCCTGCACGAGACGGGAGACTACTACCGACAGGAGGCCGCCAAACTCAAGGATGAGTACAACTGCTCCGACTACATGGAGAAGGTGAGAGAGAGCACACATTTCCCACGTTTTGGACAAATTTCCAGATGTAGTAATATGTCTTCAGTCAGTCTCCCTTCAGGCTTTTCTTCAGGGACTGGGGTGGAGGGGTAGCCTAGTGGTTAAAGCATTCGCTCATACGCTGACCACCTGGGTTCGATTCCCCACATGGATACTATGTGTGAAGCCCATTTCTGGTGTCCCCAGCCTTGATATTGCTGGAATATTGCTAAAAGAGGCGTAAAGTGAAACTCACTCACTCACTCTTCAGGGACTGTGGGTTAGCTCAGTTGTGAAGGGGCCTGCTCGCCATGACCTGGGATGAGTTTGAATCACATTTCTAGAAACTGGATCAAATACTACTAAATGTAGCGTAAACCGTTTTACTCTCTCGCAATCTACAAACCAACCATGACATTTTGGCTTAATGATTATGCTTGCCATCCCTCAACTATTCAACATTAGTTTTCTCAAACTAAACCGCACTAGTTTCATCCTGACTTCCAGACACAAAGTTTCCAAAATATTAGGACACAGTTTTCAGTTCAAAATTTTAAAACTGATCATAAAATTCTGGAATCTTTAAATGATGGTTAAGACTGTGTAGCACTTCTTCCCATGTGCTCTACCACGGTGCCCTTGTAACTAAGCAACCTTAACACTAAGGCCATCTCAACTCCTTTTGCATAACATTGATTACGACAGTTGTGTCTAAAGTAGTTTTGTACAACACCCTGGTCTCGTCTGTTCAGATGTGTGTCACACTGAAGCCAGAAATACACGGTGATTTCGAAAAAGTCAGTCACAGCCCAAAACTGTCTTTCATGGTATCCTCTCCACCATTTAATAGCTGCATAATTAGAGTGAGTGAGTGAATATAGTTTTACGTCGCTTTTAGCAATATTGAAGCAATATCATGGCGGGGGACACCAGAAATAGGCTTCACACATTGTACCCATGTAGGGAATCGAACCTGGGTCTTCGACGTGAGGGGCGGTAGGGTAGCCTAGTGGTTAAAGCATTGGCTCGTCACGCCGAAGACCCAGATTCGAATCCCCACATGGGTACAATGTGTGAAGCCCATTTCTGGTGTCCCCCGCCGTGATGTTGCTGGAATATTGCTAAAAGCGGCGTAAAACCAAACTCAGTCAGTCAGTCAGTCTTCGGCGTGATGAGCGAACACTTTAACAATAGGATAACTCACCACCTGCATAATTAGAAATCACATTCCCAAAATCACTTCCCCAATCTGGTAGGCGCGTGGCTTGGATTAGTTGGATGAAATTCAAGTCTGGTATGCCTTGTAATGGGATGCCCTTTTATCTTTGCTTAGCAGTAGCAAGAACTATGATCTGGTTTTAATGAGCCGTGCAGCTCAGCAGCTAAGTATTTAGACTATAGTTGTGATGTGAATGTATGTTGTGTTACACAGGTGATCCAGAAGCTGGACAATGAAGACTTCAGGAGTCGGAAGTTCCTGCACCCTAGTTCGTACACGAAGGTGACCCACGAATGCCAGCAACGTATGATAGCTGACCACCTACAGTTCCTTCATGGCGAGTGTCGCGAGATGGTGCAGACAGAGAAGAGAAAAGGTCTTGCAAATCATCTTTATACCTCGTATCCTCGTATCTTATGTTCCTTCCTTCTTTCATCTTGTGGGGATCTCACTAGCATCCTGTGCTGGTTGTAAAATGATAGAGGGAATATAAAGCGCCTTTTAGCAGCAGTGCTGGATATTGGTGCTGTACAAACGTTTCTGTGCGTGTGTGTGTGCGTGCGTTTTAATTCAATCACCATACCAGCTAGTATAATCGTGAGTGCAGTATTGACCAACACACAGAGCCCTGTATGTTTCTTTTGTACGTAGCTTCATAAGTGATATAGCTGGAATATTCCGTGTGCAGCATTAAACAATAACCAAAGAAACCAAAAACTTTATAAGTGCAATAAATTTTTATCCCCACGGCATGTAATGCGGGGGGATATAGTCGTCGCCTCGTCCGTCCGTAATCATTTTGTTTCCGGAGCATAACTCAAAGACCGTTCGATATTTTTCAACAAAACTTGGTAGATATATCAAACAGATCCTAAAGTTGTGCCTTTTGCTATTTACAGATTTTTGGCATTTTTATTTTTCCCGGTTTCCATGGAAACGATTTTGACTTAGCCCCAAAAGTGAGGGGTGGGCTTCGTTTCCGGAGCATAGCTCAAGAACCGTTCAATATTTTTCAACAAAACTTGGTAGATATATCAAACAGATCCTAAAGTTGTGCCTTTTGCTATTTACAGATTTTTGGCATTTTTATTATTTTTCCTTATCCTGACTCATGCTCTTTTTGCTTGTCTTCTTCTTCTTGCGAACATAGTGGAACACTTGTATCTCCCTAATTGAAGCTCCCTTCAATGTAAAATCACTAATTAGTATTCACCACGAGTTACCTCCTTTCCACAAGCGCGGGAACGAGGGCGCCACCTCTACCCATGTGCTCTCTCTCTCCTTCTTAAGCCCAGTGAGCTGGACATTGAGAGCGCCTGTGTCTCCGACACACTATATCCTTTGAAATATATTTAGTTAGTTACCTCGTATAGACATCTATAGAGGTTTAGCTAGTATCCTTCAACGATTATATATTGATATTTAGTCGCTTTTCTACAGTTTATTCACGGGCGGGGCGCGTGTTTGTTTCAGTGGATTACGTTGATGAAAATTCTGTACTATTGCAGATTACGTTTTATGCTGCTGCTGATCCGCCTTTAATATGATGTACGGCCATGTTTATTATATTCACATTGCAGTTCGCGGTACTAATTTATCCAATTCTACCTTTTTATTAATATTTGCTGGCGTTTGCACGCGCAGCAGATAGGTCGCGTATGCAGACTCTAGTATGACTGATACACGGAACCCCTCGCCAGTCTACTGCTGTTGGCCGACTCCCCTCCGTGTGGTGTTCGCTACAGAGTGGTGGAGAGGTGTGGGGCGTGGTCCGCCATCTCCAAGAAGCATCCTGCTTCCCCAGACATCCCATCGTCGCAGCAGAAGACTAGAGGGTTTTTCTACCACATCTCAACAGCGAGACCGTTCCCATCGCAGTTTTGGGCCTGTTTGATGATCAGCGGTCATCATACCAGATGTACATCAAAGATTGACCGATGTCGGCTCAGATCAGCATGCAGCCTGATGTACCAACGCAGATATGGCGATGATCGTCTGAGGTCCCATCATTACCAACACTCAACGCAGGCGTCGCACACCCAGGGCAGCGTCGACCTCTGAGGAAAATCAACGAAGTCTACTAGGACTTTCTCAGCGAGATTGTTCCAGCCGATGACCTGGACCTCTACGATGATCAGCTGATCATCATCCCGGCGTCACGCCACAAGAAGCGACCGGTGACAGCTACAGCGACATCAGCAGAGATCACCATGCAGCCTGATGCCTCTACACTGATGTCGGACGATTTTCCGGTGGACCCCTCCATTAACACCGCAGATAAAGCACCGGCGACCTCGCCGCAGACCATCCCAGAAGACATGATGCGACAAATTATGAACATCATGGAGGACCACTATATCTGCGGTAGCAGAGTCGAAAGCCAGCGAAGGCTCCAAGCGTAGCCAGCACCCCAGAGGCACCCCCGTCAACGAAAGCAGCCAGGACGATGTCACCTTCGGCGAAGGAAGTCACGGACCACCTTGACGAAAGGACCTAGATGTACAGCTCGCGAAGGCTTCGCGGCGGAAAGGACCTAGATGTACAGCCTTCGCTGGCGGAAAGAACCTAGATGTACAGCCTTCGCGAAGGACTTCGCGAAGGCAGGATAGATCATCACCTTATGCGGTTTCATCCCTAGATGTGGACTCCGGACCATCAGACATCGCGGAAGCCTTCGCTGAAGGTCATATCGTCGTTCCTCGGACCCGACAGAGGAAGCCAGCGAAGGCATCTAGCGAGACACCTGAATCCAGATCATCATCATCTAGAAGGACATCGAAGGACTATACAAGAGCTTCGTGAAACTATCAACGTTCCCTCACAAGTCTCGAGAAGATCAACCCATAGACAAGTTGATCATCGATATCAAGTATAAGAACTACAATCGTATATTGGTTCTGTTGAATCCATGGCGAGGCATTATGTTCGGCTGGCCTAAATAGATCTAGAACGATCAATTAGACACTTATCACCAGACTTAGTAACACGACTTCTGAATATGATAAGATGATCCATGCCCTACTTCAGGTAAGCAGCACGATCCCACATCCTGTTAAACACAGAGGCTGTTCACGAAGCAAGCGCTCATATATATATTTATATATATATATATATATATATACTAATCGGGCTTTGACTCGACACCTTACACCAGCGATGGTCGCGAAGACTAAGTGGCTCCAAGTCTACTTCACCCAGAAGATCTAGAAGGGATACTTCGAGAACTTATGAAGTCTCCGGCGTTCACCGAGGAAGTCTCCTCCAAAGGTTTCATATACTAGCCACTTTCGTCATATATAGCTACTGCAAATCAGTCCGTTCAAGGCGCCGCATAAGTTGATTATCAACTGTATGCCAGATGCGATCTATAAGCCTCTCACGAAGATAATTGCTCAGGCTATTTACAACACAGAACGTCGCTGTATTATTAGTCAACGACATTTCATAGATCTTCACAGAAATCAACTATTCCGTATAAATTGCTAATATACAATCCCCGGACGACGATACGATTATCTACATCGCGTGACCATTCGCATATCTGCGAACAATTCAATATCGAAATTGAACAGCAGCCTTGTTACAGCCAGTATAACTCTTAATCGTCAAAGTTTCTGAGAAAAGAAATATGTACAACAAGTTCAACGTTAATTCTACAATTATGGCGATACATTCATGTATACAGTCTACAAGCTCACAACTTGCAAGTTGTTTATACCCTTATATATAAGGAAGTCGAATTATATTCAAAACTGAAATTACTTTCACGACAACCAGGAAAATAACCTACCCAGCATAAAATTACAGAGCGAGATATTTGGCGCCGGAGGTTTTCGCTAGCGATTACCATTAACCCTCGAAAACCGTGGTCACCGGATAACTTCGGAAGCTACGGTGAAGACCGGCGTTTATGCTAATATCAGCAGCGACAAGAATTTATTCAAGGTGGGTTTTTCCCGCTACACCGTGGTGACATCACAGCGCTGGTATTATACAGAATCAAAATGCCTTGTTCTGATTGGACCCGCTGAGGACAACGCCCTACACAGAGGGTCGATCTCAATTCACAGTTCAAGACTTACGTCACAAGTGACAACTATATATCAGTGAACGAGCAAGCCTCATTACAGTCCAGTTAACCTGAACATTCATGATTAGACTGCCTTTCTTCAAGTTAGAGACCTCCCCTGTCAAGTTAAGACGAGGGATCGGCAGTCAGGCGATTTTACATAAAGTTCAACGAGGACAGACACACCTGGTTGTGCACCTACATCGTCAAGGACTTCGCATGGCGAATTACCTGAGACGAAGATACAAGTGGATCTAAATCCACAGCGTTTCAGACTACAGCTGAATTTCATCAGCGACTAACACAACTAGATGGTTAGTAAACCTACTAAACTTCTGTTTGGAGAATAAAGCGGAAATTTCCGCCCAACCTGGGGATATGAATATAGTGCTCCAACACCTCACAAGTGAGGTTTATGAACAACGCCTGGATGACATACTTGGACCCCATGATACGATGATTCTATCAAAGTTGGCCAGCAAGAGCACTGTAAATTTATCTCCACCAAACCAAACAGGAGGAAAAATGCAACAGATTATTTCCTCTATCATCAACTTCGCATGAGTGAAGTCTCATGTACTATATCTCCATTTGGATCAGAACTGTCATACTACGTGCATATGCGGATGGACCTATTCCGACCCTCCATGAGCTTAATACTCATGATATTATAGCGCTAACTTCTACAATTGTTCTACACAAATGTGATTGAAATAATGGAGGGTTTATTTCTGGAAATCCGATATGGTGGTTGCAAACCATTATCTGAGAGATATCACCACGAGGACGTCTCAGGTATACACCAATTCGATCCATGGTCCTCGCACAACAGCTGACAGTTCCTCGGAGAAGATAAGTCAATCTAACAGATTTTACTTATCTTATAACAATACTAAATAGCTTCATGCTATGTATAATTTACTTAAGTTCCTTTTATCATCACAGTACTATGATTATTACATCATACAATATATAAGTTAACAACTCTACAGAGTTTGTTATTATATATATTTACCTTAAGTTATTCATATCTTAAGAGTAATACTATGGTTACATGATAAATGCATTAGCTAACAAACTCTACAGAGTTTTTGGCTATTTTATACATAGCTTAAGTTAATTAAGCTAACAAACTCTAATGGAGTTTTACTATTATATAGGTAACTTAAGCTAAGTATACCTTAAGCATAGTACTATACTCATATTATTAAAATATATTGGCTAACAAACTCTAAGGGTTTTGCTATTATATAGGTAGCTTAAGCTTTATTCATATCTTAAGCTTAGTACTATGTTTATATCATATAAGTAGATTAGCTAACAAACTCTAAAGAGTTTTTGCTATTTGGCTTAAGTATCATCATATTTCTAAGCAATATGGTTATATTATAACATGTATTAGCTAACAAACTCTACAGAGTTTTAGCTATTATATATGTAACTTAAGCTTATTCATATCTTAAGCGCAAGTACTATGTTTTATATCATATAGGTATATTAGCTATCAAAACTCTAAAAAGAGGGTTTGCTATTATATATTTAAGCTTAAGTTTCATAATATTTTAAGCTTTATGGTTACATTATAACATGTATTAGCTAACAAACTCTGACGGAGTTCTTGCTATTATATATGTAGCTTAAGTTTTCCTTCATAAGCTCAATACTAGGTTTATATCATAGCTAACAAACTCTAAAGGGTTGTTTAAGCTATTATACAATTAGCTTAAGTTTCATCATATCTTAAGCAGTATGTTTACATTATAAAGGTATTAGCTAACAAAACTCGTGAGTTTTGTTATTATATATATATAGCTTAAGTTTCATCATAACTTAAGCTCAGTACTATGTTTTTAACATAAAAAGTATATTAGTTAATAAACTCTAAGGAGTTTATTTTGCTATATACTTTTAGCTTAAGAATCTAATCTTATCTTAAGCTTAGTACTATGGTTACACTATAAACATATTAGCTAATAAACTCTACAGAGTTTTTGGCTATTATATATGTAGCTTAAGTTAATAATATCTTAAGCACAATACTATACTCATATTGTAAAATATATTAGCTAACAAACTCTCACGGAGTTTTGCTATTATATATGTAGCTTAAGTTCATTATATCTTAAGCACACTACTATACTCATATTGTAAAATATATTAGCTAACAAACTCTCGGAGTTTTGCTATTATATATGTAGCTTAAGTTAATTATATCTTAAGCACACTACTATACTCATATTGTAAAATATATTAGCTAACAAAACCCTACAGAGTTTTTGCTATATATATGTAGCTTAAGTTAATTATATCTTAAGCTCAGTACTATACTAATATTATAAAATATATATTAGCTAACAAACTCTACAGAGTTTGGCTATTATATATGTAGCTTTAAGTTAATTATAGCTTAAGCACAGTACTATACTAATATTATAAATATATATTAGCTAACAAACTCTACAGAGTTTGGCTATTATATATGTAGCTTAAGTTAATTATAGCTTAAGCACAGTACTATACTCATATTATAAAATATATTAGCTAACAAACTCTACAGAGTTTTGCTATTATATATGTAGCTAAAGCTTATTCATATCTTAAGCTCAGCATTATATCTATATCATATAAGTATATTAACTAACAAACTCTAAAAGAGTTTGCTATTATATAATTAGCTTAAGTTTAATCATATCTTAAGCTTAGTACTATGTTATATCTTAAAGTATTTTTAGCTAACAAACTCTAAGGAGTTTATACTAGCATATTAACAAGCTTAAGTCTATTAGTCTTAAGCATTGTATTAATATTATATATACTTTATCATAATAAGTACATGGTAATAACCTTTTATATGGCAGCTGATAAGTTAGCAGCAGGAATTCATCAGTTCAGTGCCTTTATGAAGTTCCCATAGGGTTATTACAATCATCACAGTTCAAATCACTAATTATTAAAAATCCAAAGTATTAGATATTCCCACCTCCGTTCCGTTAGGATGCTACAAGCAAAAGAGCATGAGTCAGGATAAGGAAAATATGTAATTTTGGAGTAAAATTGATATTTTATGCTTATCCTGACTCATGAGGTCAGCCCTCCCATCCTCCCCAAATAACACTTTGGATTTCCCTGTAAATTCAAATGTTGGGCTCAGTATATGAGGAGAGAGTGAGGCACATGGGTAGAGGTGGCGCCCTCGTTCCCGAGCTTGTGGAAAGGAGGTAACTCGTGGTGAATACTAATTAGTGATTTTACATTGAAGGGAGCTTCAATTAGGGAGATACAAGTGTTCCACTATGTTCGCAAGAAGAAGAAGACAAGCAAAAAGAGCATGAGTCAGGATAAGTATAAAATATCAATTTTACTCCAAAAATTACATTTTCTAGGTTTCCATGGAAACGATTTTGACTTAGCCCCAAAAGTGAGGGGTGGGCTTCGTTTCCGGAGCATAGCTCAAGAACCGTTCAATATTTTTCAACAAAACTTGGTAGATATATCAAACAGATCCTAAAGTTGTGCCTTTTGCTATTTACAGATTTTTGTCTTTTTTATTTTTCTAGGTTTCCATGGAAACGATTCGGACTTAATCCCAAAAGGGAGGGTGGGCTTCATTTCCAGAGCATAACTCAAGAACCGTTCAATATTTTTCAACAAATCTTGGTAGATATATCAAACAGAACCTTAAGTGGTGCCTTTTGCTATTTGCAGATTTTTGGCATTTTTATATTAGTCCCAAAAGGAGAGGTTGGTTTCGTTTCCGGAGCACAACTCGAAAACTTCTCAATATTTTTCACCAAAACTTGGCAGATATGTGAGTCAGATCTTGAAGTGGTGCCTTTTGCTATTTGCAGATTTTTGTCATTTATTTTTTTCATTATTTCCATGGAAACGCTTTGCACTTAGTCTAAAATAAAGCTGGACGTTAAGAAACTGTCAGATGATTTGTTCTTTCAAAGATGTGGGGGCCGGGGGGATATGTCATCTTCTGATGACTCTTGTTATTTTTCTCGGTTTCCATGGAAACATTTTGGACTTAGTCTTAAAGAGGGATGGGCTTTGTTTCCGGAGCACAAATCAAGAACCGTTAAATATTTTCAACAAAACTTGGTAGATATATCAAACAGAACCTTAAGTGGTGCCTTTTGCTATTTGCAGATTTTTGGCATTTTTAATTTTCTCGGTTTCCATGGAAACAAATCGAACTTAGTTCTAAAAGGGAGGGGTGGGCTTTGTTTCCGGAGCACAACTTGAAAAATTCTTTATATCTTTCAGCAAAACTTGTGAGGCAGATCCCACAGTGGTGCCTTTTGCCATTTGCAGACTTTTGTGATTATTATTTTCTTGGTTTCCATGGAAACAATTCGGACTTAGTTTCAAAAGGGAGGGGTGGGCTTCGTTTCCGGGGCATAACTCAAGAACCGTTCAATATTTTTCAACAAAACTTGGTAGATATATCAAACAGAACCTTAAGTGGTGCTTTTTGCTACTTGGAGATTTTTGACATTTTTATTTGTCCCGGTTTCAATGGAAACGATTTGGGCTTAGTCTCAAAAGGGAGGGGTAGGTTTCGTTTCCGGAGCACAACTCAAAAACTTCTTAATGTATTTCAGCAAAACTTGGCAGATATGTGAGGCAGATCCCAAAGTGGTGCCTTTTGCTATTTACAGATTTTTGTCTTTTTTATTTTTCTTGGTTTCCATGGAAACGATTTTGACTTAGTCTCAAAAGGGAGGGGTGGGTTTCGTTTCAAAAACTTCATAATATCTTTCAGTAAAACTTGGCAGCTATGTGAGGCAGATCTTGAAGTGGTGCCTTTTGCTATTTGCAGATTTTTTTCATTTATGTTTATCATCATTTCCATGGAAACGCTTTGCACTTAGTGTAAAATCAAGCTGGACTTGAAGTAACTGTCTGATGATTTGTTCTTTCAAAGATGTGGGGGCCGGGGGGATATGTCATCTTTTGATGACTCTTGTTTAAGCAAGATTAAACACAATTTCACCTCACCTTGTTTTTTAAATATAAACATTTAATTGTTGCATTTCACATTTCAATCACTGTTTAATTTTACGAGTCTCCTTGGCCAGTTGCCTTGTCACCTTCGACAATCTGGCTTGGAACCTATCTTCAGCAACACATGCTTATTTTAAGAGGCAACTAAAAGGTTCAGGTGGTCAGAATCGCTGACTTTGTTGACATGTCATCATATTCCGACTGTACAGATCAATGCAAATGATGCCAATCACTGGATTGCCTGGTCTATACTCAATTGTTTACAGACTTCGATCATATAGCTAGAATATAGTTGAGTGTGGTGTTAAACTACACACAAACAAACAAACAAACAGAAAGTTGCCTTTCATAGGCAAAGGTCTTTTCAAGCTCCGGGGTCGTTATACGATTCGGGGCGGTGGGGTAGCCTAGTGGTTAAAGCGTTGGCTCGTCACACCGAAGACCCGGGTTTGAATCCCCACAATGTACAATGTGTGAAGCCCATTTCTGGTGTCCCCCGCCGTGATGTTGCTGGAATATTGCTAAAAGCGGCGTAAAACCAAACTCAGTCAGTCAGGCGTAATACGATTCCCCGCTGGTTCAATGGATGGGCTTGTCCTGCTTCAGGCATTAGTGATCGTGTATCCTTGTACTCTGAGGGCCTTTACCTTAAAGTCACTTTTTCACCCTCAAGCACATTTAGGGGGAAATATTGCTATTTTTGGAATTTAATGTATTATTATCATGACTTTGACTCATGCTGGTTAAAGTATTTAGTTCTCATGAAAATGATCCATGTTCAATTTCTCTAAATAGAATCATAAAGAAACCATGGAAATTTAAAATATGTATCATTGTGAAATCTACAAGAGAGCAACAGGCAGCTGTAATTCACTCACACACTGTTTCTGTCTTCCAGACCTGACACACATGTACAGCCTCCTGAAGCCGATACAGTCCGGACTGGGCGTACTCATGCAGGAAGTGGAGGACCATATAAAACACACTGGACTCGAGGCTGTCCGCTCTCTCAAGGGGGAAAATGTAAGCCTGACCTCATTAATAGTAATACCTGAGAGGCAGTGGGGTAGCAACTTTGTCTCGTTGCTTCATAAGTGATAGGAAGGTGCAACTTTGTCCTGTTGCTGGACAATAGTTAGATGCAACTTTGTCCTGTTGCTGGACAATAGCTTAGGAATGTGCAACTTTGTTGCTGGACAATAGCTAGGGAGGTGCAAATGCTTGACACAATTTGTCTCTTTGTCTGTTTGACAGTAGTAGGAAGGAATTTGCAACTTTGTGACAGTAGTTAGGAATGTGCAACTTCGTTGCTTGACAATAGTTATGAAGGTGCAACTTTGTCTCGTTGCTTGACAATAGTTAGGAATGTGCAACTTTGTCTCGTTGCTTGACAATAGTTAGGAATGTGCAACTTTGTCTCGTTGCTTGACAATAGTTAGGAATGTGCAAACTTTGTTCTCGACAATAGTTGAATGTGCAACTTTGACAGTAGTTAGGAATGTGCAACTTTGTCTCGTTGCTTGACAATAGTTAGGAATGTGCAACTTTGTCTCGTTGCTTGACAATAGTTAGGAAATTGCAACTTTGTCCTGTTGCTGGACAATAGTTAGGAAATTGCAACTTTGTCTCGTTGCTAGACAATAGTTAGGAAATTGCAACTTTGTCTTGCTGCTTGACAAGAGTTAGGAAGGTGTCACTTTGTCTTGCTGCTTGACAAGAGTTAGGAAGGTGTCACTTTGTCTTGTTGCTTGACAAGAGTTAGGAAGAGTTAGGTAGAGTACAACTTTGTCTTGTTGCTTGACAAGAGTGAGTAGGTGTCACTTTGTCTTGCTGCTTGACAGTTCGATGTGCAAGACAAGAGTGAGTAGCTTCAGTCTTATGGATGAACTCTATGTTTCCAGGTGCCTGGGCAGTTCGTGGAATCCATGTTAGAAGTACACAGTAAATACACAGAACTAATACAAAGTGTCTTTCATGCTGATCAGCAGTTTGTTGGTGCCCTTGATAAGGTGAGTCAGACATGGTGAGTGCACCCAATACGACCCAGCAGTGGGCAGTGCATATCATCTTCTCAGGATGAAAACCTGTTGACAGCAACCATAACATGGAATCAGGCATGTGATATTTCCGTCTAAAGTTGGAATTCTGTCTTTTTTATCCTCATGTGAAAATATAAAAATATCTTCTGTTTTTCTGCGTTTTTTTCTTGATATGGCGCTGTCTGTTAATTTTTTCATGTTCAATTGATAAAAATACCTGTACCTGGCTGAATTTCAGTCTTTTTCAGTTGGGTCAAATCACATGCCTGTGAGATATACACACATTTTAAATAGAAATAGCCACACAAATTTTAAACAAAAAAAAATTCAATAGAACCAAAGATTGTAATGTGCCCTGACATCAACAAACTAAGTTACAGTTTCTGGAAGCCAAACTGTACTCTCAAGAGGTGACTAACAGGATATGGTGGTCAGGCTCGCTGACTTGGTTGACACATGTCATCGGTTCCCAATTGCACAGATCGATGCTCATGCTGTTGATCACTGGATTGTCTGGTCCAGACTCGATTATTTACAGATCGCCGCCATATAGCTGGAATATTGCTGAGTGTGGCATAAAACTAAACTCACTCACTCCCCAGACTGTACCTTTACTACTTGACTTGCGTATTGTGCAGGGGAGGTGGGGTAGCCTAGTGGTTGAAGCGTTTGCTCATCACACCATAGACCTAGATTGGATTCCTCACATAGGTACAATGTGTCAGGGCCATTTCTGTTGTTTCCCGCTTGATATTGCTGGAATATTTCTGAAAGCGGCGTAAAACTAAATTCACTCGCATACATATTGTGCAAGAAACTTTATGATCATTTTGATGACTATTTCCAGATATTTTGTTATGAAGGCTGGAGTAAGTTGATAACAATGAACTGCATTGCCATTGATTCTGTGACAGACATCTGAGTGAATGTTTTTCTTTCCAGGCATGTGCAGCTGCCATCAACTTCCGTTCTAATCCAAAAATGGCTTGCAAATCAGCCGAGCTGGTCAGTATCAAATTATGTTTGTAACTAATAAATCTCTTTGCATCAAATTTTATCTTTCTAGCAAAACATCTGACATGACCGTCGACATGTTGTGCAGGGGACTTCCCATTCAGCTGATTACTGGATTGTCTTGTTCAGACTCGATTATAAACAGACTGCTGCCATATAGCTGGAATTTTGCTGAGTGCGGCGTTAAGCAACGAACCAACCAACAAACCAACCATAAACTTGAACATTTGACTGACAGTCATTGTAGCACTGACATATCTGGCAGATCGATGTTCATGTTGTCAATCACTGGATTGTCTGGTCCAGACTTGATTATTTACATGCTGAGTGTAGCACTAAACAACAAATAAACAAACAATAGATTGTTAAAAATATGAAGCCAAATTACTTAGAAAGCTGACATTTGCTGAGCTCACGAACCCTCTCATCATTCATTTTCATAGCGCAGTCTACGTTTGTGCAATCTGATGAAATGTTCTGTAGAGGGCTTCTTAGGTCTTCGGGTGTAGTAATGGAATGAAATATCTGATGATGATGAGATTGACAAGTCAATATTCAGCATCCTTTTGGAGGAAAGTCTCCTTAGGTTGTAAAGCTGAAGAGTATCAGCTACGATCATCCACTGTTTGAGGACTTTGTTATGATGTCATTCATATTAAAAGGACATTAAAGTTTTGCTTATCTCAGTGCATAGTTAATGTTAATCCTGTTTCCTTTTACAGCTTGCTCGCTATTGTGATGGATTATTAAAGAAGAGTTCTAAGGGTATTTCCGAGACGGAGCTCGACGACAAGCTAGCCAACTGTATAACTGTATTCAAGTACCTAGATGATAAAGATGTCTTTCAAAGGGTAACCTACAATGTTCCTGTCTTGTAGTATTTTTAATTATTGGTGCAGTTATGTTTGATAAAACTATGTCCTTCAGTGTAATCACCCAATTCATGATAGAGATGGTTGGTTTAATCACTGTTAATAGTTTCATCAAATTGTTTAATGATCATTAAACACATGAAATATGTCGAACGCCAGTACTGAAACGACTTCTGTAAATGTTAATGTGTTCTTTGTGTCCTTCAGTATTCTGGCTGTAATATATTAGACCATCTATGTTTATAAACTGGGTATGATGTGCTGTTGTCGAAGATCCGGGTTATAATTGATCTTCAGTAACCCATGCTTGTCAGTAAGAGGTGACTAACGGATCGGGTAGTTAGGCTCGCTGACTTAGTTGACACATATCATCGTGATCCCAATTATGCGTAGAACGCATGCTCATGCTGTTGATCACTGGATTGTCTGATCCAGACTCGACATTATTTACAGAGACCGCCATATATGATTACTCAATGCCATTTAGAAAGTGGTCAAATGTAACATGTTATATTTGGGATTACACTTTCTTCAGAAAGTACAGATTCTAGTACTTTACTTTCTTCGAAGTACAATAGATTCTAGTACTTTCTTAGTAAAGTACAGATTCTAGTACTTTTACTAAGAAAGTGTAATCCCAAAATATACCATGTTACTACCACCATATAGCTGGATATCGCTGAGTAACGATGTTAAACACCAAACCAAGTCCTGGTTACGCTTTGTAGGTGATCCATCACCATACCCCCAGAACATGGATTTCACCAACATCTGAAACTCTTGCGCCACTTGAGGCTTTCTGTGATGTTACTGGAATATTGTTCAAAGTGGCATTATACCAAACTCACTCTACTCAAGTTTTATGAACATTTTCTCATTATGAAGCATGTTTAACCTGTGGTTTCAGTTTTATTCTCGAATGCTTCTGCCAAGCGCCTCATCTACAGTCAGTCGACCTCCATGGATGCTGAGGAGGCCATGATCAACAGGCTCAAGGTAGGAGGACATTTGGGACGCCATTTTGTATTCTAAGGCCATCAGGGACTATGTCTGAGACAGGATATTTCTTTGGTCATTGCTTCAAAAAGTTCATTTCCTAGAAGGAGGACAAGAATATGTTATCAGGAGCTTCATCAAATGATGCATACAATTGTAAATTCAGGGTACAACTTGAGAACAGATTATTTGGATTTGGGCACCCAGGGGTGGAAATAACCCATTGCCCGGGACGTCCGAGTCCAGTGTTTTTTTCTGTCGGGCAAGCAAATTTGTATATCACACTGTACCGGGTGTCCAGTTGACTTTCCAATGTTAATTATGTTGTTTATTTTAAAAATCAACAAGAAAAACGCCGCATATAGTGGAAAACTTATCAGGGCAAGAGATTTTACATGTGCCACTGTTCCGAGTACACTAGCAATTTTAAAGGTATTTCCACCCCTGGCAACCCACCTTTTACCATTGATGGGGTTCAGGATTTTGTTTGAAACAGGATATGTTGGAAGGGGTCACTGCTTCAACATGTTGCTGCTTATGTTTTCACAGCATACTTTTTTATGCACGTTCATTTATGTTCAGTGAAAATAGTTTCTTGTGATAATATCTGAAGTTTACTTTTAACCATTTTATTCTGGTGAAGCCCATTTCTGGTGTCCCCCGCCGTGATATTGTGTGAATATTGCTAAAACCGGCATAAAACTAAACTTACTCACTCACCATTTTATTCTGGAACAAATGACTCTTTTTAACAAGAGCCATCCCTGTCTGTGTTTACAGCAAGCATGTGGGTATGAGTTCACCAACAAGCTCCACCGAATGTTCACCGATATGAGCATCAGCTCTGATCTCAACAACAAGTTCTCGGACTTCACCAGGGAGGACAGTTCCCGGGACCTCGGGGTCAACTTCTCTATCCTTGTCTTACAGGTAAATAACCTCATACAGCTGGACAGCGGAACCTGTAATCGATAAATGTCTACAGGGGGCACAGGCTGCTCAGTCGTTGCTGCAATTTGCAGTAGAGTTGTGGCCCTTATTCGTGCCAGAATCCATTGCTGCTAGGTTCCAATTCCAGATTCATCCTCATAATGGTTTTTAGTTTGTAAGCTACATGTCATTCTCATTGGTTTCACTGAAGATGTGAAAGGTTTAAACCTTGCTAATCTTATGGTTTACTCTGTCATCGTATCCCAATTGCTTAGATCAATGTTCATGCTGTTGATCCCTGGATTGTCTGGTCCAGACTCTATTATTTACAGACCAACGTCACATAGCTGTAGTATTGCAGCGTAAAACTAAAACTCACTCACTCACTATGGTTTACACATTATGCTGGGAGCATATGACACAGTTGTCTCCCTTGTTTGTGGCACGATCTGAAACCACAGTATCAGCATGATCTCTAAACACATGGAATGAGATTTGAACCAAAATGAAAACATTGATCTTTCTAATTATCTCATGCCTATTTGCCTAATCAACTTGGAATATTTCCTGACATGTAAATGACAAACAATCTAACCAACTAATACTAATTGTTCTTGTTTTTCCTGTTGTAGGCCGGCGCCTGGCCCATAGCTCAGAGTAATCTTCCTTCATTTGCCTTACCTCAGGAGCTGGAGAGAAGTGTTAGAATGGTAAAAATAAAATCAATTTATCCTTAACATGTTTTGAATATACACTACTGATAAAAATGTATGATCACATAATTTTTCATGTTAAAAAAGTTATCTCTTATGGCATGAGAATCGTGCCTTTCTTTATATATGTTGGTACACATGATAATTGCTGTATGTTTTTTTCTGTATGTATGTATGGTCATGCTGACCTAGTTTTCAAATAATATTCCTTTCAATAACATGCACTTCATGATAAGCAGGTGACTAGCATGTTCAGACATGCTAACTTGAGACCACCTTCGTGGTGTAGTGCCAGAGCGTCATAAAAGTAGCGTAAAACTCACTTGTAATGATATGGCAGAGTTGTTCCAGTGGAAACAGGATCCAGTGTGTTTATTGATAGAAAACAGGCAGTTCTTTTTCAGAAGAAGTCCTCCTTGTGGTACATATAAGCATTAAAATGTCCATTTTAAATCCTACGACAGTTGTAGCTATATTTTTCAATAAAATAGTTACAAAACAAAAACTTGTTTTGACTTGTGAGACCACCCTTACAGGGCCCCACCGGACCCCCTACAGCCAAGAGCAGGTAACTCTCGCCGTCTACCTCGTACCTCACTTTTTATGCTGTCGTTCTGTTGAATAGACGTGCGTGGTGTTCGTTTCGAGTGTAAAAGAGTCTCATTCTGTATGTATGGTTCCTTTCTTTACGCACGGGCGTTAGATGGACTTCATATGTTGATATTCTCATTCATCTTTTGTTGTAACTTTGCCGTGGGTTCTCTGTTTTCCAGCCTTGTGGCAGGCAATATTGCGGACCGCGCAATCGTGGTTTCCTTGCTACATGTTCTTGGTAGCTTGTAGTAGGGAGTTCATATGTTATGTTTGCATATTATATGGTATGGTAGGCTTTGCCTAAATTCTCTCTTCGCCTAATTTGTGGTAAGTCGATTGTTGAGTAATTTTGATAGTGTTCGCTTCTGTATCACTTCACTTACACATGCTAGTATGTACACACAGTTGCGGTTAGCCTTTTTGTCCTTCGCCACAGCGCTGAACGGGGACTATGTATTCAGTAGCCCGGGTCCGGGTCCACATACGCACGTCCCTGATTCTTGTTAACGCCTATATCTCATTAACTGTTGTACCCAATGTTCTTCAAATTTGGTGTGTCAGCCTACATTGCGGGATTACGCAGACACTGAGTCGATTTGCGTGACCTTTGACCTTATTTTCAAGGTCACCAATACACTTTGACCACTTTTTGAACTCTTTTTCACGCTTGATATCTCATGAACTGTTGTACCCAATGTCTTCAAATTTGGTGTCAGCCTACATTGCGGGATTACGCAGACATTCCAGTCGATTTGCGTGACCTTGACCTTATTTTCAAGGTCACCACGACACTTTGACCACTTTTCAACTCTTTTCACGCCGATATCTCATGAACTGTTGTACCCAATGTCTTCAAATTTGGTGTCAGCCTACATTGGGGATTACGCAGACATCAGTCGATTTGCGTGACCTTGACCTTATTTTCAAGGTCACCACGACACTTTGACCACTTTCCAACTCTTGTTCACTCGATATCTCATGAACTGTTGTACCTAATGTCTTTCAAATTTGGTGTCAGCCTACATTGGGGGATTACGCAGGACACCAGTCGATTAGGGGTGACCTTTGACCTTTATTTTCAAGGTCACCACGATGCTTTGACCACTTTATGAACTGTTGTACCCGGATGTCTTCAAATTTGGTGTCAGCCTACATTGGGGATTACAGACATCAGTCGATTTTATGGATCTTGACCTTATTTTCAAGGTCACCACGATGCTTTGACCACTTTATGAACTGTTGTACCTAATGTCTTCCAAATTCCCAGTGTCAGCCTGATGTCTATCGATGCCCAGGCCAGAGGCTGATTTGATTTGAGCTTCTCGCTCTTTCGCAACTTTGAACTTAACACTGAGTAGGTTCATTCCTGAGGCAAGTGCGATAGACCGAATCGCTGTGTTGCCTCAAGTGTTGTCTGTGTCGAAATACCCGAACCGCTGGAGTTCGGCCTCGAGGGAAGCCTGCTTTCAGCAAGGCATCCGGGACAAGGCCTCACACTCTACTGTCAGTCTGCCGTTGTTTCCCCTTAATAGCTCAACGAGCTGTATGCTCCACTCGGCGCATCTCTCAGCTCTGCTGAGGGAGCTGGTGGAAAGGGGAAAGAGCGCCGGTGATTTTTCATCGGCGACTCTGGGCGGCATCTGACGGCGGTCAACTCTCATCTGGCTAGGGACTGCATTGTAGCTGTGCCAGCCAAATGATGAGCGGTTATGGACCTATGGCCAGGGACTGTTTTGAGGAATACGGAAGTCTGCTGAGCTTCGTTAATCCTCAGGGTGCCCAGGCACCGCAAACGCTAAGCTGCCGACTCGCTGGGGTTTACTGTATTCTGCCACAGACCCTGGTAGAAGTGCATGACACGCCAAGTGCGGCGGCTTCCGAGACGGCGAAAATACTCCATGCCAAGATCCAGTCTCTGCTGGGCGAAGGGCAACCAGCGGTGGTTTCCAATGCACCGGGTCAGGAAATGTGGGGTTTGACTCCATTTATTTCCTTGCTGCCATTAAGAACAGAATGTTCAGACCCATTCTCATCTGAGAGCTGAACAAGTTAATAGAGGTAATTGTCCTTCTCAAGATGGAGACACCGGCCCGGTGATCTCATCTGTCGAGACACAGGGGATTGGCGACGCCAATCGACCTCGCAGGTCGCCAGATCTCCTTGTCTATTGCACCCTCTGATTTCAAGATTTACCTTCGGTTTCTTCTTCAACGGGACGCGCTTACCAGTTTCGCGGTGCTCCCCCTTAGTACATTACGTTTGCAAGGGTGTGTTCACCAAATTGAGGGTTTATTACAGCCCAGATAGGCAGATCGCGGCTTGTGCCGGTGTTGTCACCCATACCTAGGCTTTACTGGCTCATCAGGGTTTTAGAATAACAGTTTGAGTCTGGGAACCTCACGACAGTTGGTCACTCTTTACGTAAACTGTGTCGAATTGTCAACTTCACTTAAGTCAGATGGATAGACGCTGTATGCCTCTCTCTGAGGGACTCCCGGAGACACCGTCAGTCTCAGTCCAGCCAGATACATCCCTGCTGGGTTGTGGCGATGTTCTGGGCTTTTACCTCGCGGTCTCTTTGACAACGGTCACAACCTGCACATCAATGTGCTGGAATTGACAGCAGTCACATTGGTGTATGATCCTCCGCGACACCGATTCGGAACCGACCTTTTCGCCAGACATTCTCACTCTGAACGGGTGCCACACCGTAATCCTCGATTCTCTTGGTGGCTTGGCCTCTGTCGGGTCTAACCCCCAGACACATGGAATTCCTCCAGCCGCTGCAGACACAATTCTGGCTTCAGACCCTTCTCAGTGTGTTGATCGGTGGGCTGGGCAGGCAGATAGGGGATTTCAGAATCCCTATTCTCATGGATTTAGTTTGAGTTAGGCCTATAACCTCATTTTGGTTGAGAGCCTTATGACCTCCACCATTCCCGGTACTCCATGGCTATTTCCACCTTTCACACCTTGTTCGATGGTGCTCTGCCTAAGCAGCACCCTCTCGCATAGCGCCGTGTAGCTGGCATGAACAGGGGTTCCACCGCTTCTCGCGCTTAATCGAAAGCCCACCTTTGAAATTGCCAATTATTCTCAATTGGCTGTCTGGCCCTTTGACTTCTTCAAGTATATTGTCTCTCTCACTTCACTTGTTGACGGAAGATGGCTTTACTTGTGGTGGTGAGCTCTGGTAGAAGGGTCGGGTACATCCATGCGATACCCACTGACCCGACACTGACAGTATTTATACTGATCATGTCCCCAGATTTCAGCCTCCTGGATACCTACCACTCTCAGATTGATATTGCTTTCCACGCGGACTGTTCATATTGAACTTCCACCCCTTACCCAGCCTTCCACATCGTGGGACCGATCTTTCGATTGCTCATCCGTTGGAGTGACTATAACGAAAGAACGAAAGGGATCCGTATGGGTACCCATGTGTTCTGTTTGGTGGCGGGAAGACTGGGGAGTCTGCTAGCAAGCGGACTTTATCTCATTGGCTTGTTTCCGTAATTGTTCGGTTACAATGCTAAGGTTTACCTTCCCCCGGGAGGTTGAAGGCAGACTGGGTAGGGCAGATGCCGCTTTGTTGACAATACACAGCGGCACTGCTCAATGAGGAGATTGGTTCTGTCGCTCTTTGGAGCCGGCAGAACGCCTTCATTCGTTTTTTACGCTTTCCCTTCCCTTATACCTCCCGCCACGCTTCTCTGGTTCGGGCTATTAAGGTTGGGAGTTGTTTCGGCATGTCCCCATACATTCCTTTCCATTGTAATGGTTGGGGGTTGGGTTTTATGTCATAATTGATTTGAGCCAGTTGACGTATTAGCTTGGGCTCTCTATTTCCTGCCCTAGTCACGCCCCCGCCTGATTGACATCAGCGGTCAAGTGGCTCGGTAAGTGTGGGTTTTTTTCTATTTCCGTATCGGTTGTAGATTTCACTCCACCGCGGGTTTAGTTGTTACCAGACAGAATGCCACTACCGTCTCAAATATCTTTGGGAGTCTGTCTTATGCTTATATGTACCCCAAGGAGGACTTCTTCTGAAAAAGAATTATACAAACCTGTAGAGGTTATGAATACTTTGAAGAAAGTCCTTCTTGGGGTATCGGCCACCCTCCCCTCATTCTGTCTGATAATGCTCAGCATGAAAAGTGAGGTACGAGGTAGACGGCTAGAGTTACCTGCTCTTGGCTGTAGGGGGCTCCGGTGGGGCCCTGTAGGGGTGGTCTCACAAGACAAAACGAGTTTTGTGGTTTGTAAATATTTTATTGAAAAATATAGTTACAACTGTCGTGAATTTAAAATGGACATTTTAGTGCTTATATGTACCCCAAGGAGGACTTTCTTCAAAGAATTCATAACCTCTACAGGTTTGTATAATTTTACACTGTAATTCAATAGAGGTATTGAATGTATATATTTCCGTTGCAGTTTGAATTATTCTACAACAAAAATTTCAGTGGGAGAAAGTTAGCATGGATGCACAGCTTTTGTAATGGTAAGACATTTACATAATTCTTTCAGAATAATTTCTTGCCTCTTGAACTTGAGTTTATACAGGCTGCTTTGGATGTTCTGTGGTGAGCTTTGTATTTTTCTATATTTCTGACAAAAGTTTTACCTTTAAAAGGATGACCCCCATCTGTGTCTCCATCAAGACTCCACACAATAGGGCCCGTAAGTAGGTCACGACACTTCACTAGACCTCAGTACTTCAGGTGACTAACAACGTTTCACACCTATTGGAATGGTCTCATGGTTGTCAGTTGACAGTGAGGAACCGATAGTCCTTGCAGGAATAACAAATTACCAATCTAACCATCTCCAAATTACTATTACAGCTATCATCAGCTGTGACAGCCAAGCATGGTTGTACACTTGGTACGGTCTAGTAAAGTCCTATTTGGCGGTTGCACAGTTTGGAACAAGAACTGGTTCTTGAATATACGCTTGTCACCAGAAATCTGGTACCGGAAGTAAGCTGGGCCCTGTCTGGCATATCGCAAGTTGGCGCGTGCAAAGGGCAAAGGAGCACCTCGTGAGAACCAGGGCCCTATTCTGATTTTAGTACCAGAAGCTAGCACTCTCCCCAATGTGTTAAGCTCAGACTGGAATATTGCAGCGTAAAACTAAACTCAGTCAGTCAGTCAGTCTGATTTCTGAACATCAAACAAAGCAAACATTTTCAGTTTCAGGCTTCACATTACCGTGTTTATTCTTGTATTGTCCTAGGCCAAATGCTAGGAAAGTCCCTAGGATCTCAGCAGTAACACTGTTATCCATTGTTATCCAGTGATTAGTAGGACACACCTACCCTCCAGAAATTCTAGTTGATATGGAACTAGCCACATAATGTATCAGTTTACTAAAACCAAACAAGGTTTACCCCACTGTTGAAACTGTCCACATGTTCATAGACCAACTGTATGAGTATTAACCACATGGACTAATGGACGGTGACAAGCACTGGTGTTCAACATTGTCAAGATGTGTGCAGTATGGGAAATAAGGCTGGGTGTATTATATTACCTGATTTTGATGCCATCTCTACATTTGGCCTGGGAGTATATAGATATTGCTATCACTTTTATGTTTGTTCCAGTTGAAATGAAGTTTAACTATCTGAAGAAGACGTACTTCGTGACGATGGGGACGTTCCACATGGGGATCCTGCTGCTGTTTAATAGTGGCGACAATGTGGAGAAGCTTGCATTTAGCTTTATACAGAAACACACAACACTGCCTGAAAGGGAGCTGGTCAAACAACTGCAGTCACTTATAGATACCAAAATAATCTCACATGAAGTAAGTTGTTCTTTTCAGTTGTCCAATTGCGTAGATCAATGCTCATCACTGGATTGTCTGGTCCAGACTTGATAATTTACAGACCGCCACCATGCAGATGGAACATTGCTGAGTGCAGCATAAAACAAAACTCACTCAGTGTTCCAGTTGTTTTATCTAATAATGTTATTAAAAGCTGAGTGAGTTAGATAATTGACTTTGTGTGCTGGTGATTAGCTGCCTGACTCTGGATCATCTGGCACCATGATCTCATGTTACAGGGCTGGTGTGGTGCGGTAGCCATAGTGGTTAAAGCATTCCCCACATAGGTACAATGTGTGAAGCCCATTTCTGGTGTCCCCTGCCGTGATATTGCTAGAATATTGCTAAAAGCAGCGTAAAACTAAACTCATTCACTCACTCATGTTACAGGGTGAAATTACACCTCAGAGCGACTTCGAGTTAAACTTAGCTTACAACAACAAAAGAACCAAGTTCAAGATCACAGCTGCTGTGCAGCGAGATTCTCCACAGGTATGTTGCCGTTATGAAAGTATGTTGTCAGTGAAGGTGTACTGATACAGCGATATGACTGTGTACTGTTATGGGATGTGGGCTTTGATTGTGTATTGACTTTGAGCATGACTGTTGTAACGGAGCGGTACTGTGCATTGACATGGGATGGATATATAGCTGGAATATTGCTGAGTGCGGCGTAAAACACACTCACTCACTCATAATGTGTGATTGTGCATTGTCATTGGGTATGATTGCGTATTGTCATGGGTTGTGATTGTGTATTGTCATGGGTTTTGATTGTATTTTGACCTGGGGTGTGTATGTGTTTGCCATGGGGTGTGATGGTGGTTTGTCATGGGTTGTGATTCGGTATTGTCATGGAGTGCTAGTATGTATTGTCATGGAGCATGATTGTATATTGACACGTGCTGTGATTGTGTATTGTTATGGGTTGTGATTCGGTATTGTTACGGAGTGCTATGTATTGTCATGGGGTGTGACTATGAATTGTCATGAGGTGTGACTATGTATTGTCATTGGGTGTGACTATGTATTGTCATGGGGTGTGACTATGTATTGTCATGGGGTGTGACTATGTATTGTCATGGGGTGTGACTATGTATTGTCATGGGGTGACTATGTATCTGTCATGGGGTGTGACTATGTATTGTCATGGGGTGTGACTATGTATTGTCATATGGTGTGACTATGTATTGTCATGGGGTGTGACTATGAATTGTCATGGGGTGTGACTATGTATTGTCATGGGGTGTGACTATGTATTGTCATATGGTGTGACTATGTATTGTCATGGCGTGTGACTATGTATCGTCATGGGGTGTGACGATGTATTGTCATAGGCTGTGACTATGTATTGTCATTGGGTGTGACTATGTATTGTCATTGGGTGTGACTATGTATTGTCATGGGGTGTGACTATGTATTGTCATTGGGTGTGACTATGTATTGTCATGGGCTATAACTGTATCGATTGACTGTGCTCAGATTGTAATTTCTAAACCAGGGCCCCGTTTCACAAAGCTATCATAGTGCTACGACTGTCATAACTCCTACACTGTAACATAGACTTACGACAGTCGTAGCGCTACGATAGCTTTGTGAAACGGGGCCCAGAGGGCCAAAGAATTGCTAAACCCAAATCATTTCTAAAAGCTAAAGTCTGATTGACCTAAGAACCCATGCATCATTCAGTAGGATATTTGCACTTTGATTTCACCAGATGCTATTCTTCTGATATTGTGAGAGTGTTACATTAAACTGTCTCACTGTGTTGTCAATGTGACTGCACTGTGTTTGGTTTTGACCACAGGAAGTAGAACTGACCCACTCGGCCGTGGACGAAGATCGTAAGATGTATGTGCAAGCTGCGATTGTCCGCATCATGAAGGCGAGAAAGGTTCTCAAACATAATCTTCTCATACAGGAGGTAAGAAGCTTGGGAATAGGGAATGTTGACATGAAGTGTAACTTGCTTAGATGTTTCATATTATTAGGGACTTAGTGGTACAATAGCTTTACACACTGCAACTCGCTGTCCATAGTTTTGTCTCAAAGTTCCTCAACCCAATTGTCATGAGTTTAAATTTGATATATGAATTAGATTTAATAGAAATATTGCTCAGAAGTTATTCTGCACAAAACTCACTTTCTAGTGAGTTCTGTAATGTTGTTTAAGTCTGAGGACTTCATCATGTGAGTTTTCCACTGTAAAGATAACGTGATGTGATATTCCTGGAATATCTTGGAAACCCTCTTAACCTTACTATCTCACACTTGCACACTAACCCTCTGACTCACTCTACCACCATCCCACACACCCTCTGACTCACTCTACCACCATCCCACACACCCCTGACTCACTCTACCACCAAACCCACACACCCTCTGACTCACTCTACCACCAATCCACACACCCTCTGACTCACTCTACCACCAATCCCACACACCCTCTGACTCACTCTACCACCATCCCACACACCCTCTGACTCACTCTACCACCATCCCACACACCCTCTGACTCACTCTACCACCAACCCAACACACCCTCTGACTCACTCTACCACCAACCCACACACCCTCTGACTCACTCTACCACCAACCCACACACCCTCTGACTCACTCTACCACCATCCCACACACCCTCTGACTCACTCTACCACCAACCCACACACCTCTTGACTCTCACTCTACCACCATCCCACACCACCCTCTGACTCACTTCTGCCCAACCCACACACCCTCTGACTCACTTCTCTACTACCACCATCCCACACACCCCCTCTGACTCACTCTACCACCATCCCACACACCCTTTGACTCACTCAGCCACCATCCCACACACCCTCTGACTCACTGTACCACCATCCCACACACCCTCTGACTCACTCTACCACTATCCCACACACCCACTCAGCCACCAATACTCAATCATTCTACAATCCACACTCACTCAACCCATCTACACTCTATCAATCCCTCACTCAACCACCCATTCACACTTTATCAATCCCTCACCCAACCACCCATCCCCACTCTATCAATCCCTCACCCAACCACCCATCCACACTTTATCAATCCCTCGCTCAACCACCCACCCACACTCTATCAATCCCTCACTCAACCACCAATCCACACTCTATCAATCCCTCTCTCAACCACCCACCCATACTCTATCAATCCCTCACTCAACCACCCATCCACACTCTATCAATCCCTCACCCAACCACCCATCCACACTTTATCAATCTCTCACCCAACCACCCATCCACACTTTATCAATCCGTCACTCAACCACCCATTCACACTTTATCAATCTCTCACCCAACCACCCATTCACACTTTATCAATCCGGCTACTCAACCACCCATCCACACTCTATCAACTTTCAAGCCAACCACCCACTCCACACTCTATCAATCCCTCAACCAACCACCCATCCATATACTTTTATCAATCTCTCACCCAACCACCCATCCACACTTTTTTATCAATCCCTCACTCAACCACCCACCCACACTCTATCAATCCCTCACTCAACCACCCACCCATACTTTATCAATCCCTCATCCAACCACCAATCCACACTCTATCAATCCCTCACCCAACCACCCATCCACACTTTATCAATCCCTCACTCAACCACCCACCCACACTCTATCAATCCCTCACTCAACCACCCACCCATACTTTATCAATCCCTCACCCAACCACCCATTCACACTTTATCAATCCCTCACTCTACCACCCATCCACACTCTATCAATCCCTCACTCAACCACCCATCCATACTTTATCAATCCCTCACCCAACCACCCATCCATACTTTATCAATCCCTAACCCAACCACCCATCCATACTCTTCTTTATCAATACTCCTCACCCAACCACCCATCCATACTTTCTCAATCCCTCACCCAACCACCCATCCATACCTCTTTTTTCAATCTCTCACCCAACCACCATCCACACTTATCAATCCCTCAAGCCAACCACACACCCACACTTCTATCAATCTCTCACCCAACCACCCATCCATACTTTTATCAATCCCTCACCCAACCACCCATCCACACTTTATCAACTCTCGCTCAACCACCCACCCACACTCTATCACTCCCTCACCCAACCACCTATCCACACTTCTATCACCCCCTCACCCAACCACCCATCCACACTTTTATCAATCCCTCACCCAACAACCCATCCACACTTCTATCACTCCCCCTCACCCAACCACCTACCCACACTCTATCACTCCCTCACCCAACACCCATCCACACTCTATCACTTCCCTCACTCAACCACCCATCCACATTCTTTATCAAACTTTCTCACCCAACCACCCATCCACACTCCCCTATCAACTCCTCAGCTTCAACCACTTCCACCTATACTTATCTAATGGGTCTCACCTCAACCACCCATACTCCCTCTATCAATCCTCTCACCCAAATCACTCCATCCATACTTCTGATCAATCTTCTCACCCAACCACCTATCCATACTCTTAATAATCCATGTACCAAAACCACCCATTCACACATTTTATCAATCTCTCACCTAAACCACCTATTCACACTTTTATCAATCCGCTACTCAACCACTCCATCCATACTCTATCAATCCTCACAACCACCCACCTACACTTCTCTATCAATCCCTCACTCAACCACCCACCTATACTTTATCAATCCCTCATCCAACCACCAATCCACACTCTATCAATCCTCTACCCAACCACTCCATCCACACTTCTTATCAATCCCTCACTCAACCACCCACCCACACTCTATCAATCCCTCACTCAACCACCCACCCATACTTTATCAATCCCTCACCCAACCACCCATTCACACTTTATCAATCCCTCACTCAACCACCCATCCACACTCTATCAATCCCTCACTCAACCACCCATCCATACTTTATCAATCCCTCACCTAACCACCCATCCATACTTTATCAATCCCTTTAACCCAACCACCCATCCATACTCTATCAATCCCTCACCCAACCACCCATCCATACTTTCAATCCCCTACCCAACCACCCATCCATACTTCCTTTTCAATCCCTCACCCAACCACCCATCCACACCTTATCAATCCCTCAAGCTTCACCACACACACCCACACTCTATCAATCCTCACCCAACCACCCATCCATACTTTTATCATCCCTCACCCAACCACCCATCCACACTTTATCAATCCCCGCCAACCACCCACCCACACTCTATCACTCCCCTCACCCAACCACCCATCCACACTCTATCACCTCTCTACCCAACCACCCATCCACACTTTATCAATCCTCACCCAACCACCCATCCACACTCTATCACTCCTCACCCAACCACCCACCCACACTCTATCACTTCCTCACCCAACACCCATCCACACTTCTATCACTTTCCCTCACCAACCACCCATCCACACTTTATCAATCCCTCACCCAACCACCCATCCACACTCTATCAATCCCTCACTCAACCACCCATCCATACTTTATCAATCCCTCACTCAGTTACCAATCTACACATTCTACACTAACTGGGCGGTGGGGTAGCCTAGTGGTTAAAGCGTTGGCTCATCACGCCGAAGACCCTGGTTCGATTCCCCACATGGGTACAATGTGTGAAACCCATTTCTGGTGTTCCCCGTCGTGATATTGCTGGAATATTGCTAAAAACGGCGTTAAACCATACTAACTCACTCACTCTACACTAACTGACCGCCTCAGTGGTGTAGTGGTTAGAGCATCCGCCCGGAGAATGGAAGGTCGCGGGTTCGATCCCCGATCGCGTCATACCAAAAGACGTTAAAATTTGGTACTTGTTGGTCCCTGTCTGGCGCTCGGCATTAATGGGTACAACAAGGACTGGTCGGCTCGGAGTCAGTATAATGTGTCTGAGTGGGGTATTCATGCTTCACTGTGGCATGGTATCTCAGTGGGCTAGCACTATAAAACCAGCTTCAGTCTGGGCTAGTACAAGCAGCCGCACATACACATAAACACGCATGCACGCCATATGAGCATAAATATTTCTGCCACCCACGTAAAACCCAATTTCACCTCACCTCAACACTAACTCAACCACTTACTCAGCAACACAACCACCCCTCCACAGTCCCTCACCCCCCAGCTCACTGTGACTCCAGCCCTGATTTCTGTTTGTGCAGGTGATCAGCCAGTCGCGGTCCCGCTTTAACCCCAGCATCAGTATGATCAAGAAGTGTATAGAGACTCTCATAGACAAACAGTACCTCGAACGGACAGCTAACACTACAGACGAATACAGCTACGTAGCATGATGCAACTGTCTATGTGGGTGTGCGTCACACACTCTAGCCCTCATACCGACTGCATCGTCACTAGCGCTCAACATGTCATTCTGTCTAGATGTGAAATCAGCCTGACTTTCAAGCTCCTGATCTGAGGCTGCGAGTGCACCTGTTGAAGAATGGCACCACAGGATTGGATTATATGAAGAGTGTGTATTGTTATCAAAGCATATTGGAATACATCTAATGTTTTGGGATGACATTTTGAGAAGATAATAATAGACTAACTTTCTCTTGGAGTCCTACTGGGAAAAGGAAAAATGGAAAATGGACAACTTTTCATAACAGTGATTTTATTATTACATCTTGACACGCATAGCAATATTGGTGGAAGAGAAGTGGACAGTTGTGTTTAACAAGAACATGACAGAACAAGGTTGATGGCAGAAAAACATTGTGACTATGGAATGCATCCACAGACATTAGTTAAGAAAAATATTGAAACTATTATTGTCATAGTTCGCGTGAAGGCTGGAGTAATTAATCCCCACGGTTCCTTGATCCTCCTTACCAACAAATGGGAGATGACACAAAATTATGTATAAATTTTGCAAGTTTATTCTATTTTATTTTCAAACAAAATTAATCAAGCAAATATAAATTAAACTAAAAAGTACAATGTATTCTCACAAATTTACTGAAGACTTATCCATAAAATATAAAATAGGTCTGTGAAGTCCTCATGCAAAGAAAACCAAGAGAAATCTGTTTCTAACTGCTGCAAGTAGCAAATGTTTTTTTGTGTTTTTAAAAAAATTGAAATCCATCAATTTTTTGTATGTGGTTAATAAGTGATGATCATGCTAAAGAAAACTGCCATTTTTAGTTCACTGGAGCTGAAACTGACCCCTTAGCTGGCAATTACTAGGGTTGTTTTGTATAGTAACAGTGTCACACACTTGAAGAAGCTGATCTGTTTGGCAACGATTGGTGTTTTAGGAGGATGTAGATGTGGTATATGTTTAAGACTTCAAGGACAAGCTGTGCTGAATCTGGATGTGAAGCTTGTGACCGAATAGTGCCCGTCATGTTTCAGTGCTCACGTTTGGGATGAAGACAATGGGAGAGATCTGTGTTATTTATTCGACATATTCCCTAGAGGGTGGTAGGGTAACCAAGTGGTTAAAGTGTTCACTCATCACGCTGAAGAGGGCGGTGGGGTAGCCTAGTGGTTAAAGCGTTCGCTCTTCATGCTGAAGACCCGGGTTCGAATCCCCATGTGGGTACAATGTGTGAAGCCCATTTCTGGTGTCCCCCTCCGTGATATTGCTGGAATATTGCTAAAAGTGGCGTTAAAACCAAACTCAGTCAGTCAGTCAGTCACGCTGAAGACCCGGGTTCGAGCCCCCACATGGGTAGAATGTGTGAAGACCGTTTCTGATTCCCCCTGCCGTGATATTGCTGGAATATGGGCAAAAGCGGTGTAAAGCCATACTTATTCAATCATTCCCTTGAGTTCTTGGTTTTCGTATCTGATAGACTGTATTCTGATTTAAAGCTGAGGTTTCAGCAGCCAAGATGGAAAATCCTTTTACCATGGTTATCAGAACCTGCTGCACACAGTAATCTTAGCAGTTTCAGTCATACATAGACCTACAATCATAGAACTTTGGGTCATCATTCAATTTGAGGCAGCAGGGCAGCCTAATGGTTAGAGCGTCCCATCATCACCGAAGACCCAGGTTCATTTTCCTACATGGGTACAATGTGTGAAGCCCATTTCGTGGTCCCCTGCCGGGATATTGCTGTAAGGTTACTAATAGTGGCGTAAAACTAAACTCATTCATTCTGGATTTAAAGCTGAGGTTGCAGCAGCCGAGATGGAAAATCCATTTACCAGGGCACTTTCCACAAAGTGTGCTTACAACAGTCATAGCACTTTGGGGTTATCAATCAAATCACATTACATTTATATATGTAGGAAAAATATTTTTCTTGTATAATGTTCTGACTGCATAAATTTTAAATGTGTTCAGATGGTTTCTTAAAATCATTTTAATATATTTTGATGGGAGTAATGTGTGAATCCTATTTCTGGTGTCCCCTGCCGTCGGAGTTATGCTGGAATATTGCTAAAAAGTTTATGTAACACTGTTCTCACTCAACTTGATGGGTGTAGAGTGTTTTCTTTGAATAATGGAATACAGTTTGTCAAATGACATGTTGTCTTTTATCATATTAATACCTCAGCATCAAGATGTAACTTTGACAAGATGAGTCAGTACAGCTGTATGTTTTGACCGATAGCTAGGCCATTTTTTGGGGGTTCAGAACAAATTGATGAATAAGTTATCCACCTTGGGAATTTGTAGTTAGAATTGGTCCACAGCAAAGCCCCCTTGAAGATGAAAGTTAATGGATTGAATGGTCAAGCTCCATGGCTTGATGGGTTTGATTGTACCTTGAAAGTGTGAATTGTTGTTCACATCAATCACTGGATTGTCAGGTCCAGACTTGGATATTTACAGACAATATGGCTGTGTGTGGTGTTACCGTGTCTTCACTGATTCATGTCAGGGGTCTGATGCTCCTGGACACATCATGTGTCCTTTTACTTGTTCATTAGTAGGAGCCGGTGGGGTAGTGGTTAAAGTGTTCGGCTCATCACACCAAAGACCCGAGGTTTGATTCCCCTCATGGCTACAATGTGTGACACCCATTTCTGTGTCCCCCACCGTGATATTGCTGGAATATTGTTAAAAGCAGCGGAAAACTAAACTAACTCACTCATTGTTTGTAGAAGTACAAGGTGACAGGCTGATCACAATGCTTGAGTATCGGGTGTAACATGGGTGACGGACCTGTAGGGGAGACAACTCTCTGCTGTAAATGAAGTGGTAGGATTTGGGTTTGAGTAAGATTAGCATAGTCATCATTTCCAGTGTAATATACTAATTCACTTAAGAAATAATCTTGACCCTGTTTTCATTTAAACTCTTTCTAATTGACAACTTATCCCATCTTTAATTCGGCATGAAGATGAAGGGGCCTGGTGGAGTAAGCGATTGGTTAAAGCTTTCGGCTCATACTGAAGGCCCATTTATGCATGTATCTCTTCAGAATAATGCAAGAAGCTATAAAACCATATTAATTCACTTAATGCTTAAGGCATCTCCTGAATGCAATGTACATGAATAACCACATCTCTTGCATCAATATAATAATCGTTCACCTTTGTATTGTTAAGTATTTTTTTTTACATATTTAGAATGTCATTTTGTATTCATACAGAATTGCATATTTGGTATCCGATTTCAGAAGTTTGATTTGAAGGATTTGCAAAGGCTGAAATTTCTTAAGCATAATATTTCTGTTCCCCAATTATTTACTACTTTGAGTGGCATTTAGGAGCTGGTTTGATAAACAGGAACGATATTTATTAGATAGGCAACTTCTTCATTGCAAAAGATGGGCGTTTCAGTGTAGATGCTTACACAGTTCTCAAGCAAGTGATGACAAAGGGTAATTGTCACGTTCATGAAGACAGCGTATAACTTCTTTTGATTGAAGCTGGTATGAAGCATTTAGAATCTGGTATCATGAACAGGAACGATTTTTGTGGATAGGCAACTTCTTTTTTTTGCAGGGGTGGTGGGGTAGGCAAGTGGTTAAAACGTTTGCTCATCAGGCCAAAGATCTGGGTTCGATTCCCAACATGGGTACAATATGTGAAGCCATCTGTGATGTTGCTGGAATATTGCAAAAGCGGCGTAAAACTAAAGTCACTCCTATTTATGGCAGTGGATGAGACGTATTGACCGTTATCAAGCAATAAAGAAGTTTTGTATCAATAAAAAATCATTCCTGTTGCGTATTATTTAAACCAACAATTGCTGCTCATGAACAATCTGTAACTCTAGTGACAAGCAGTGTAGCAGAAAATGTGTTTCAGTCCAAAAAGTTTTGCAAATTTAAGCCCTATGTTAATACAATACATTCTGATATTGTCATGTGACCAGAGTGAAGTAGATGCAAAAGGCTTTTGGTTCTGGCTGCAACAACTTCCAGTTTTGATGAAACAAGATCTTGGTTAGAATTGTTTTCAGTAACCCATGCTTGTCGAAGAGGTGACTAACAGGGATCGAATTGGTCAGGCTCGATGACTTGCTTGACACATGTCATCGGTTCCCAATTGTGAAGATCGATACTCATGCTGTTGATCACTGGATTGTCGGTCCAGGATTTCAGAAGGAATGGACATTCTCCCATGTCACCGTATCCCAATTGTGTAGATCGATGATTGTAATGTTGATCACCTGATTATCTGATCCAGACTCATTATTTACAGATAGCTGGAATATTGCCGAGTGTGGCATAAAACTAAACTCACTCACTCGCTTTTGATAACACATATCAGTATTTATTTGAGACTCAGTGGTACAGTTCCCAGTGATTGCTGCAAGAGCTGACTGAGGTTAGAGTTTGGTGGTTTTCAATACAAAATATCACAAGTTGTGATTCTTATTTGGTTTTGTGTGAAGATATCTGCAGCAGCTTATGCATGGTCTTTTGCGCACAATTTCTACAAGACCAAAATCTCACCAGGATTATATTGTGGAAGAATTTATACTATTTACAAGATGGGATGTGATTACAACACTGTGACTTCTACTGCTTGCTGTATGTTGGTCTACAAATTTGTTGGCCAAATACTGCGAAACATGAATAGGCCATGTTTCCAATGTAAATACATCGTCGTCTTCATATGAGGGTCTAGGAATACGGAAGCATATTTCTGTTTTAATGGGAGTGCACTTGATTGTCCACAAGTCCAAACTGGATGGATAAAATAGTGAAAGTATCTGTCTGTGATGAATCTGTCGGTTACGATGATGTATGAATATTGAAAGATTTAGTTGAATGTGTTGGAGCACATACCTGATGACATCAAATGATTATCTTAAGAGGACTCTATGATGTGCACACCTTTTGTACATAAATAAAGATGTGTGTATATTGCTATCAATGACTGGTTTTGTTTTTGTACCTTATATAAATTAGAGGGAGGTGGGGTAGCCAAGTGGTTAAAGAATTCGCTCGTCACGCCAAAGACCCAGGTTCAATTCACCACATGGGTTTGATATTTGAAGGCCATTTCTGGTGTGCCCTGCCATAATATTGCTGGAATATTGCTAAAAGCAGCGTAAAACCATACTCACTCACTGACTGCTGATTGGGTTGTTAGAACAAATACTTGTAAGAGTGAGTGATGACGAAGTCTCTGTATCTGACAAGCAACCATAGACAATGTCAACCCACGAAGCCAGCCGTCGTCGAGGTATAGTATGACCAGAAATTATTGAGAATTTTAGGAATATGTTTAATTGGATTTCTAGTATAAACAACCTTGACCAGCTATCAAGTGCTTGGTTTCATTCAAGAGAGACAGCTCCGTTAATCCTTTTTCATTAGTTTGTGAAGAGTTATCCCCCTTTGTTTACTTGCTAGCAGACGACATTTTCAGTGATCCTCAGTATGGATGATTTAGAGAAGAGGAAGTTGCTTTAGAGTATTATAACAAGGACATCAGATCAGCTAAAGTGATTTCAAGTAGAACAGGCATCCCTTTGTCCACTGTTTATCGTGTTTTGAAAAATATTGCAAATGGATATGGCATTGAGCACCAGGGAGGCGCAGGTAGGCCCAGAAAATTGACTGTCGGTATTTTTGTTTTATAAAACAAATGAAGGAGTTTAGAAAACTTAAGGCTGGATATGATTGATAGAGGAACTGTGGCTGTCTGTAAGGAGACATTTAGAACTGAGATGCATGCAATGGGTTGGCAGAAAAGGTGAGGGAATTCCATCACCGA